TATTTGCGGCGTTCACGGGTAGTCCGTACAAACAGAATTGTTTAAACATTACAGAAAGTACGGGCCAGAGAACTGTAGAGCAGTAAAATCCACGTGTTTAGTGTTTGTCCTCCTGGTCCCTGTGGCTGCTGTGGTCAGAGGCCAGTCTTAATGAACTGCGTGAAGCGGAGAGACCGTTATTATAGATCCATGAGAGACCCGCGCACGTGCGGCCGTTATGTGAGATGTCAGTTAAAATGACAGACATTTCTTATCCCCTGTGAATGCACCTGATAATGATCACAAATTACCAGGGGTCCACAGGTAGGCAAACAGCATTTTTTTCAGTCACGTTTAGAAAATCCCTGTGGTTGCACAGGAATAGGGCAGGGTTGAAAAAGTAATCCAAATTGGAAAATGACTGGCTGCAAACACAGACATGCGTTCGTAAAGTCTCTTCACCAAAACTAATACTGGGTCAATACTTTTGATTTAAAAGCAGAAATGTGTGATGTCACAGTCGTACAATGACATCATACTATTACAGTGACACAGTAGCTCCTGATACTTGCATGGATGGATGTAAAAACAGCTCCAGGTTTGTTTTTGATGAGGAAACTATGTTGTAACATGCAGCTCGGGAATTTTTTACTTTTGCCTGTCTTCATAGAGATTTGAAACATATTCTTGACAGCAGGTATCTACCAACACTGATCCACATTCACTCTTTTGTTGTGAAATAGTACTTGCTTCGACAGTGCCCTGAAATCCAGTGACGTCAGATAAACTTGATTTATTCCTTTGGACTTGTCCTGGATACTTCCTGCTTATTGTTCGCTCTCATCAGATAACATTGTACTCTGAGATGATAACAGAATGCATTACTCCGCCACCAAAGCCTCAGCAAACACTTTTCTATGTACCTTGGTCACATTTAATAGCATGTTTTTTTCATAGTTTGTAATGTTTGCTCAAAGATGGACATGGGACCTCACCCAATGGGCAAACAGCAGGTGATGTCACATGATAGATGCGTTTTTAAAAAGACGTGGCTTGAATGGCATTGACAACTGTAGTTAGGAGGTATTGTGCTCAGGGCAAGCAGCACAAAAGATCCACACCTGAGTCAACTCACGGGCAAAAAAGCCACTTCCTCCATGTGAAAAACTGAACAAATTCAAATAATTCTTGTGCTTTTATTATGTGTTCATTTTGTTCCTAATAAATAAAATATAAAGAGGATTTTAAGCCTTTAGGCGCCAGTGTTTTTTTAAACATTTATTGTGAAATAGACAAAAAGTGACACCCTGATAAGAGACAGTGGACTACTTTAATCATTTACAGAAATACACAGAAGAAAATTATGTGAGAAAAATTGAGGGAGACATTTGTGGGAAGCCAAGTCGCTGTATATATACTGCCCTGGTTTCAGGAGTTTGTGAAGCAATTCTGCTTCTTTGGTGCTTGAAGGGTTGAGTTTGTAATCTCTTATTGAAGCTTGAAATTGCACTATGTAATAAAGACGGACATTTCGAACCCTCTAGCTCACAGGTGTCAAAGTCAAGGCCCGCGGGCCAAATCCGGCCCGCGAATGAATTTTTCATGCGCTTTCCGCTATTTTCATGTTCCCAGATGTCTATAATATCTAATATGTTTGGGGATAAGCTTGAGAGCATATTGAATCGAGCCAGCAGGTGGCAGCAGTGCTCTCTGAATGGTTTGAAAACAGTTAGATGCACTTGTTGTGCCTCTTTTTCTCAGCTTTTTGGTGATTTCAGTAAAACTTCCCTCTACTCAACTGGGAATTACAAGCTAGAAACAAAATTATTTTTGCTGATGAAAGTAGACAGTCTATTCTTTCAGAATCTGGTTTCGGATTTCAGATAGTCATAGTACACAATATTCTGTGGGTCTTGAAAAATCTATAAAAATCATCAGAAACTGCTGGCAATATGGGAGTACCTGTTCTGAAATGGGCTGGCAGGCAATGAGTTAATAAACATTGAACCAGTCCGGCCCTCGGCTCGCAGCAAATTTGTTTTTTTGGCCCTCTGATGTATTTGACTTTGACATGCCTGCTCTAGCTCAATAAAGCCCAATAGGAAAGTGCTCATGGATAAAGTTTTGCTCCAACTCGCTCTGGCTCCTATTGACATTGAAGAGTAAACTCCTCTAGTTTGTGTCACGCTCATCGTATGCCTTCATTCGCAAGGGAGACTTCAGCTTGCCCTAGCAACCACCTTAGCAACACATTTCCCCCCCGTCGGAACAAATACCCATGAAAGCAAATTGGCTTCATCAAGATTATGTTCAAACTGGTTTCAAGTTGATTTTTAGTATTTTCTCTGATGCTCCAACCTTAAAGTCGCCCTTAACCTTGTATTAACATTTCTCCCTGAATTCTCTCTCTCTATCTGACACACACTCTCTCTCACTTTCTCTCACCCTCTTTCATTCTCTTTTTCACTCTTTCTCTCACACACTCTTTTTCACAGACACACTCTCTATCTCACTCTTTATCCCTCTCTCACTCACTCACTCCCACTCTTTCTCTCTCTCTCTCTTACACACACTCTCACACATACTCTTTCACTCTCTTTCTCTTACACTCTCACACACACTCTCTCACACTCTCCCTGCTTCCTTCCCTCCCTCTCTCTCTCTCTCTCTCTCTCACTCTCTCTGTCTCCAATGAACCAGAACTGGAGGCTTGCTATAGTCTGTGGTTTCCCTGTTTCCTGGGAGTGGTCTTTTTCAGTTTATTTGTGTCACGGAGTCGTCAAAAGTCCAGCCGCAGCCACAGAAGTCATACCATGGATTCCACACTCACCCAGAGACGGAGGCTGAGGCTGGATTCCTGCCGGTCACTCACCATGAACCAGCCTGCACCCAACACGTTTGAACCAGTGGGAGCCGGGTCAAAATAAAACATATTATAGGGGTCAACAACATTTCAGGGAGCTACCCAAAGGATTTATCCATCCTTTATCCTTTATCCATCCATCCATCCATATATATTATTAGTATACAGATGGGTTATACATTATGGTATATTTTACGTCTATATTCTCTATGTTTTGTCATAGTTATGGTGGCACAGTGGCTCTGGGTTCAATTCCACCTCCAGTTCTATTCTGTGTGGAGTTTGCATTTTCTCCCCGTGTCTGCTCCGGTTTCCCTATACCACTAAAATCACGTACAATAGGTCTGGCACGCACCTCCTGTAAGGTGACGTCGCTCCCATCCCAATGGTCTGTAAAATGCCCTATATAAATCAAGATTACTTACTTATTTATTAAACAGATGTTTATTATGACTACAAAAGGGAGTAGCTCTCTGCATTTTATGTTGTGTAAATGTAGCTCTCCGATTGAGAAAGGTTGGAGATCCCTGAACTTTGTAGAGACTGTAAATATAAGAGCATAAAACAGATACAAATATGGATTGTATGAATAAGCATTTAATAAATAAGCAAACTATTTGGAAGAGTTTTTAGTTTTGAATTTTAAATAATTTCTCCAGTGTGCATTTGCTGCCACACCAAAACCAAAAATATTCAAACACGTTCATGGTTAAAAATAAAAATGTAAAAATTCAACCTCATTTAAAATTCTATATCAGCAGACTCTAAATATCTTCCATAAACTCAACCATTACAAATAAAAATTCAAATACTATTAAAGATATGTATAAATAGGCTACAGCTATCTCCCCTCTTCTTTGTTCTTTGTGATATGAACTTACATGTGAAATACTTTCCATAGTGATTACATTTAGGAATGAGCAAAGATTCCCACACTCGGAAATGCTGCATAGTTCAGTCCATAGTCTTTAAGTGTATAATTTGATGGTATAAATACATAGTTACATATTGTTGTGTGCATGACTTCAGAGCTGATGTGACTGTAGTATTTTTGGCAAAGTGTGTGAGAGATTTTGGAAAATACAACTAAATGATGCCGTTAACATTATTACTGCTTATAGAGAGTAGTGATTAAGATGTTTTTTTTGTTCCTGAGCCTTGTGTACTGTGGAAAATGTTGTTCTCAGTCCTTCCTGCGTGTGTAACAACAGAAACAACTGCAACGTGTGAAATTGTTATTCAGGTTTGGATTATTGTTTGTCATGTTTGTAATAGCCAATGTTTTTTTTGGTCAAATGTCAAAAACATTTACCTTTCGGGATCTCAACAACTCATCGGTTAATCACATTAATGACAGACGAGTAGCTAACTTTGTCTGCAAGATTTATTTTTAAATGTAATATAATTTTCCAGACTTTTTCCATATTCTACCACCATAAACACCATATTCTAAAATTGTTCCTCACCAGTCACAGACCTGGAGTTGTCTTTAAATCCATCCACGCTATTATCAGGAACTTCTGGCACCAAATGTGTAACCCCGCCCCCTCTGTGTAAAAGCTCCTGTTTCAGTCCTGTGATAGTATGATGTCATTGTACCACTATGACATCACACCGTTCACGGCCTCCCTCTGGTGGTCGCTCAGAGAGTTGCAGATTTCACCATACATTTTCTTTTGAAGATATTATTTCACATTATAAAACATGAAATGACAAAGTAAATAGTATCATTACCTTTTTAATGGCCAAAGATAATGCATAGGATTTATTATCTTAAATTATCTTTTGAGTTCTGTCTGTGATTCTCTGCATTGCGTTCAATGCTTCAATGGCGCCCTCGTGTGGCCATAAGTCACTGTATGCTGCCTTGGAGAAATTGATTCTTTCAGTCTTTTTCATTGATTTCAGCTAACCATATTTAAGATCACTGCACACTAAATATTAAATCATGTTTGACACAAAAAGCTGTAAAAGTTGACTTTGGATTTTAAGCGGAACCACTATACAGACAATGAAATGTTTTTCACTGCATTATAACTGTATTTTTACTCTTCTAAATGTCCTTTTTAGAAACTAAGTGCGTTTTAGAAAGTAAAGTAAGTATCATCATTATTATTTTTGTTACTATTATAAATCTTTTTGCTTGTGTCTCCTGTAGCTGACAGCAGTAAGATGGCGGACGGAGGCGCTCAGTGTTTCTACTGCAGAGACGACCTCGCAGGGAAGAGGTTTGTCCGGAACGAGGGCCGCCCGGTGTGCGTCCGCTGCCACACCAAGTTCTGCGCCAACACGTGCCACGAGTGCCACCGCGCCATCTCCGTGGAAACCAAAGTACGTTTTACTCAAGTCATGATCTTGAATCAGAGAATTATGAATTAAAAACATATCCAAATGATGAGTTCTGGCACAAATCCACATCCGCCTGCCCCTTCTTCCAAATGCTCCTTCTTCAAATTCTTGATGGGGAGAATTTTCTGCTTTTTAAAACAAAAGAATGGTCTCTGAATTACAGGGAAGAGACAAGGGGGAAAAAACTTGTTGTCCATAGTCCAGGAAAGACTAATTGAAATACAAAATGGACAAAACCAGGCCTCTTTTCCAATGTTACATATGTTTATCAAATTTTATATTTTACAAAAGTACAAGAGGAAAAGAGTACTAACAGAGAAAACTCCATCCACCCGACCCTCAAAAGAAGAAGAAAAAAACAATAGTATATCTGGTGTCAGACAGTGAAAATTGACAAAATTGGATCAGTCGAAACGCATCGCTATGTTGCTATTTTAAAGTAAAGTCAGAGTGCCTCAGACCTTTGCTTTCTACAAAAACAAAAGAGGATTAAGTGATATTGCAATCCCAAATACAGAGGAGAATGCGTCACATACACCACCCCAAAATTGGGACATTTTGTTGGGGACAAGACCCGTTTAAAACCAGGCCCGTTTTAAGTGTTGCTTTTAAAATTTGATGTTTTTGTCGTCTGAGCAGGAGCTGACCCATAAGAACCGCCACTGGCACGAGGACTGCTTCCGCTGTGCTAAATGCTACAAGCCTTTGGCCAAAGAACCGTTCAGCACCAAAGACGACAGGATCCTGTGCGGAAAGTGCTGCTCGCGAGAGGACGCTCCCCGCTGCCACGGCTGCTACAAACCTATTCTGCCCGGTAACAGCCACGGATCATTTACCCTCACCTACATCCACGAGATTCATGCAACGATTCCACTTCACCACTTTGTATTTTAGATTCTATTATGTGAGAGTTTGAACCATTGTTTGGAGATTCTTGAGCCAAAACAAATTCTAGCAGATGAATAAATGTGCAGATCTTTTAAGTACACGTGACCCATGTTTTACACAGTTAAAGCTACAGTTTGTGAAGTGAAATATGTTTACATAAAGTTTACAGGAATTTGTATTATTCAAGGACTTCATGTGAAGACCAAGTATGATAATCAGTGACTGAAATTAGCAGAAAAAAAACATTCTAGATGTTAAAAAAGAATAGATGAATTCATCCATCCATCCATCCATTTTCTTCCCCTTAATCCATTTCTGGGTCGGGGGGGTGGCAGTCAGAGCTGCACCCAGTACACTTAGCACCAGCCCCTCACTGATCCTCCTGCAGGTGGTGAGTCCACAGGAGCTGAGATCTTTCAGTTGGGGCTTTGGGCAAAGTAGGGTTAAGTGTCTTGCCCAAGGACACAACGACAGCAGTCATCAGTGGGAGTCGTGAAGTAGGTCTTACGGTGGGCTCGAACCCACGACCTTCAGGCCCAAAGGCCAATGCTCTACCAACTGAGCTACTGTTCGCCCTGATGATGAATTCAGGTCCATTTAAAATTCAATTCCTGAAAGAACAAATAATCCGTCTTTTTTTCATCGAATTTCACAGAATTTTAGGCTAGAAAACAAACATATTGAATATTTTTATGGTGAATATGTAATTTTGAAATTTTAATCACATTGACAATTATACACTGAATTTTTAGTGACTGAAATGCAAAGACAATATTATTCAAACATGCTTTTTCAGGGTTAAAAATTCAAATGGGAAAATTCAAAAAAGAATTCAAAATCTGATGACACAAAAAATCTTCCATATAGCAAACTTCTAAAACACTACAAAAGGAACTATGTCATTTAATACGTATAATAATAATTGAATTGAAGTGAATTAAGTCATGCCAACAATTGGAATAACATGTTTTTACTGTGTGGAAGGCTCCGAGAGCATGGAGTACAAAGGGAACTCGTGGCATGAGGACTGCTTCACTTGCTCCAACTGCAAACGACCAATCGGAACGCAGAGTTTCGTCTCCAAGGACAACGACATCTTCTGCAGCTCCTGCTACGACAAGAAGTTCGCCAAGCAGTGCTTCAGCTGCAAAAAGGTACAACAGGGTTCAGCAGGACACTTGTAGAAACTAAGATACATTCAAAGAACTACTGGGAATATGAAAAATGTGGCGTTAACAAGTCAAAGATCTAAAATCCCTGTGTCTGCGTAGGTTTCCTCCTGGTGCTCCGGTTTCTCCTATCCTAACCATATGTACAATAGAAATTAATGTAATGAGAGAGTGAAAGGATGCTGATGGACAAGGTTCAGGTGTTCGGTGTCTCACTTCTGTCATCAGTGTGTGCAGAGTGATTGGAAATTACCAACATCAAAATTCTAAAATATTTGTTCCTTATTTTTAACATAAGAGCAGTTATAAAAGGTATAATTTCATACTGTAGCTACTGAAATAATATATCATAAATCATACAAGTATATTCATCAAAAATATGGATACAAAATCATAGCCCTTGTTGTCAATAAAAACAACTGTGCTACCCCATGTAACTATGGAAACGAGATCTCTGTGTGTGTATGTGAGTGGGTATGTGGATGTAGGCATGTGATTTTGTAGTGCATTTATGTATTTTATTTTTAAGTTTTACTATTTTACAGAGCTTTTCGAGGAGGCACAAAACATAATTTATTTTTTCCCTCTGTGGTAATCTGAAAAAATAAAATAAAAATAAAGTTAGGAACATTTGAAGTGACATGGACGTAGAGTACCGTCATTGTCATCATTTGTCAGCGGTTGCGTTTGCTCATAGATAAGTTGTGAATGTAGTTTCTCATTGTTCCCTGTGTGTCTTCTCCGTTTCAGGCCATCACCTCTGGAGGCGTGACGTACCAGGAGCAGCCGTGGCACAGTCACTGCTTCGTGTGCGCCTCCTGCTCCAAACCTCTCGCCGGGACCAGCTTCACAAACCACCAGGACCAACCCTTCTGCGTGGACTGCTACAAAAGCAACGTGGCCAAGAAGTGTGCCGCCTGCCAAAACCCCATCACGGGTCAGGCACCACATTTCCTCTTGAATATACTGTATATAGGAATAGGATTCAGTTGTGGCATAAAAGCTTCAGAGGACACTTCTGTTTTCCATTTTACAACATTGTCTCATCAATAACTTGCCTGGAGTTGTTTTTAGGTCCCAGCATCCTCGCTATTATCACAAACCTCCAAACAAACCCACCCCCACTCCATCTGTCCAAATGCTCCTCTTTCAAACTCAGAATGCTTGAATGAATCCATACTTTTCTGCCTTTTAGATTTCTCCAGTTAAATTGTGTGTTTTTTTTAATGGTACTGGGGCTTCGGGTCAAATTGTACAAATGTTTTTTTTATTAATAGTGTGATCAATATATTTTTGTTTTTTATTAGAACACAAAAAAAAAAAAATACTGCTTCACACACTAAACCACTAAACTACTGTTCATTAATCCATCCATCCATCCATTTTCTTCCCTTTAATCCATTTCTGGGTCAGGGGGGTGGCAGTCAGAGATGCCACCCAAGTCTCATAGCACCAGCCCCTCACTGACCCTCTGCAGGTGGTGAGTCCACAGGAGGACGGCTGCTCTCTGAGGGTGAGCATAGCCTTGATCTTTCAGTGGGGGCTTTGGGCAAAGTGGGGTTAAGTGTCTTGCCCAAGGACACAACGACAGCAGTCATCAGTGGGAGTCGGTGGAGAAGGTGCAGAGGTGCGAATACCTCTGCACCATTCCCATCTCTGGTGGGAATACCAACAGTGGGATACTGTTCATTAATATTTTTGGTAATATTTCACACATTTTTGGATATTTTTCCAATTTTCTGTGATAAATTAGTGTTGTATTTGTTTACAATAATATTTAGTTTTCAATAATAATTAGTTTATTGTTGTATTTGTTGACATTAGGTCCAAGTAAAAAGTCGCATTCATTTTTGTCCCTATACTTTTTTAATATCCCACATGAAACGCCAAGTTAGATATTCTCAAGATCACATTTCAAAGCCAAAAACACCAGAAATAACACACATAGTCCATGGTACCAGACGACACAGAGCTGCTTCTCACACCGACCCAACGCCTTTTCACTTAAGCGTGTCCATGTTTTGTCTCCGTAGGGTTCGGAAAAGGCATAAACGTCATCTCCTTTGAGGGCTGCTCTTGGCACGAATACTGCTTCAACTGTAAGAAGTGCTCCCTGAGTTTGTCCAACAAGCGGTTCGTGGCCAACGGCAAAGAAATCCTCTGCTCCGACTGCGGCAACAAGTGAGACCCGGAGAAAGCCAAAGAAATCCACCCAAGGAGCGGATTTTACAAAGCACTTCAATCATTGTCGCTGTGCATTTTACACTTTTATACATATATCAATAAGCCATGATAATAACAATGTTGTTTTTGAATTGACATTTAAGCACTTTTGTAAATCATGTGGTTGTAAAATGAAGAGAAAGTTGTGGTTATGAAACAGAATAAACAATATAATAATCCTTTGTCTAGTATTATGTGTAATTATTTTTGTCAATAATTAAATAAAAAATGTGGCATGGATATTCTTGTGTAATTTTAGATTAGGTGTCTGGTAGAGAGCACATTGTACAAATGAATACTAAATTATGAAACAGAAATTAGGGTTTTGTGTTCATCTCATAAACTACTCTTCTCTGCTCCTAAAGACGAACGCACGTTTGCCCTCAGGGACTACAGGTGAAAAATTAGCACTGCTGCTAAAACTTGGGAAAATGCATGTCTCCTCTTGGCTAATGTTTATTGTACACTGTCCCGGTAAAAATAAAAATCATACCACATATACAAGTTTAAAAGTGTCTTGTATGTATTCAGTATGTAACTAATTATGACGAGTTCTTGATTATTAATGATTTTCTCGTCAAAAACAGACATGGAGTTGTTTTTAGATTCATCCATGCTTATATAAGGGTCTGGCTCAAACATGTCTAAAAGCTCAGTCCTGTGTTAGTTTGTTATTGTACCACTCCTACATCACGCTCTGAGCAGTTTCCTGACATTTAACACTAAAGTTGTGCCCATAAACTAGTGTTGGCAATTTCTCACAGCAACAATGTACTTTGCGTTTACAGTCGATCATTTTCAAAATTGAAAAATATATAATAAATTCAACTCCCTCTGGTGGTAGGCTGACAGAATTGTTTACCCTTGACACTTGTTTCACCATGCATTTTATTTTTTAGTTATAATTTCTCATTCTAAAACAATCATAAATCATTCATTCATTCAAGTAAGTAATGTTTTAGTCTCTCGCTGATCCTCTACAGGTGGTGCCTTGGTCTTTCCAATAAATCAAATACCACCAAATAAAACCTAATAAATTAAATGCAACATTACATCATTGGAATTGGAATATCACCTGCCTGATTCTAGGGCTTGGACTCAACCTTCGACCCGGACCCTGTTTGTTTGCTGAGCCTAATTGCATGTGTCCATATTAGTCTCACAGTAATGTCTCTACAACACGAGATATCACTGTTGACAAGTCTTTTTCTCTGTGTGTGTTATTCCACAGACCACATGTAATATCTGTTGTATTTGTGCGGGTAAACATCAGAACTATCAGGGTCAGCTCGACTTCTTGGAGACGAGCAGAAATATGGCACTGCACCACAACGTTGACCCATGGATCCATTATAATATCTGAAGATGATGCTTTAAGTTATTACTATAAGACAAGAATATGATGCAACTCAGAGCCACATTTTAAATAAATACTCTTTTATGTGTGTCCCCAGGTAAACAGTCAACATGTATTAACCATATTTGACCTTTTCTGAAAACAATTCCATACATATAAGCAGATGCTGGAATAAGTAGGTAGACAGAGTTTATACTGTTTCCAGCTAAAACCCAGCAGGTGGATCGCATTCACTGCTGAGTGTCATGTATGAGAAGATTATGGCAACAATAATAGGGTAACTGTAATGACTTACCCAATTTTTGTACGATAGTCATTTTTAGACCAAGAAGAGTGCGTGTCACATACTGTCCCCAATCTTTTCCAACAGTATATATTTTATTCTTCCAGATCAGACAAATGAATTTATTAAAAAAATGCATAGTAACTCTAATTCACCTCAAACATCAGTGTATGTTTAGTGCTGTGTGTCCATCATTTCTATAATTTATTGTACGAATGACAGTTGCATTAAAATTTACCAAAAACAACTTAAGTCCTGAGAGAAAATGAGAGCTAATGAATGCGTTTCCAAATGCGTGATGTGTTTCCACTAATGCTGCTGTGGTCCCTCCCAGAGCCTCTTCTCAAACACAGAGGGTAGTTCCTCTTCACACACGCTGGAAACCTGTGATCCGTGTCCTTTCAAACCAAGATGTGTTTTTATTTTATCTTATAGGTTTGTTCTGTATTATTATTTTTAATGCTAAAGTCATGTTAGTTTTCTTGTGTGTGATGACCGCGACCGTCTTCACTCAGACAGAGGGTGAGTTTTATTATGATTATGTAACAGTCGCACTGGATCCTCTTTGTGGATCATTAGGAGTTTACAGAAATGTACATTGACTTCAAAACTATAGCACTCAGCGTGGAACTATATTTAATCGCATTTGAACATTTTAGTAACATTTGGGGCGAGTGGGGACCTGCAGCTAGGAACAGACAATAGTTTTATTAATATCCACAGTAAGTTCACCTTAAAAGACAAGATTCCTAAGTTCACTTAAGAATATGTTTTTGTTTTTTCTTGAGCAAGTAAGTGGAGAAATTTTGTAATAATTAATCACAAGCAACAACAAAAAAAAATATAACAAAAAGAGTAATAATACAAACATAACACTTCTCAAAAAGGAGTGGGAAGGACTAAACACTTATTTAATCCCACTGCTGATGAATTGTTTAGTGCTGTTTGTCTTATTCATTGCTAATCAAATTAATTAAATGATTTATTGTATGAATGAAAGTTGGATTGAAGTTGACCAAAAACAAACAAACCAATGCAATTCATTTTGGCTTTTTGGTTATTAGGGGAAAAAATGTGCAACATTCTTGATGATGTTAAAATACTTGTGGGGTTTTAATGACAATATACATGTGAGAAGGAGCGTTGAGAATCACTAAATGACTCTTTAGTAAGGGTGGTCCTCTATTTTCAATTTTCTGTCTGAAAAAGCTGATTCTAATGCATGTAAAAACGAGTATTAGAACCAATTGGAGAGCGAGAAACTAGTTACATGGGCTCTTGTCATTGGTTAAAATGTTCTCCTCCAGCAAACATTACTGGTTTATGTCCCCGAGTGTGCATAACTAGACCAGAACATCCCTTGGTGTTGGTTTTATGTCTTTTCTGTTTCGCCTTTTGTCTGCTGCACACTGGGGACTTTTGCAAACACATTCCAATTTGGTTTTTACTGCAAATGGCAAATAAAATAAATCTGGATCTCTCTGCTCGAGGACGTCTGCCGTAGACAGAAACACAGTTAGAGGTGGTCTGACTTTGTTAATGATTGATGGTGTCCAGGCCAGCAGCTCAGTCTCTGGGGGAAAGTGGGCCACTTCACTCCAACCTGCGGAGCCTGGATCCTGCAGAATCCTCTGTCTGTGCCCCTCAAAGAGTTCACCGTCTGCTTCAGTTTGCAGCGCCAGGTACACACAAAAGCAAGTAGTATTTACACAACTACACTAGGTTTGAAGTAAGGCCTGTCACAATAACTGAGTTACATTAACATTTAAGAGGGTATAACCACGTTGTATTAGTTTAATTTTCTCATGTGTGGCTTTCATGTTCTAGACTTGTGTTTTATTTGTAGAGCAGGCACCAATACAAGCAATGTTTTTTCCCCAATCATTATTTGATAGTGATTAGATTCACTAACTACATTTTATCTTCATGTATGAAAGTTCTTTCTACTGAACAACATCTAGTATATGATTTTGAATATTGTCAAAACTCAGACAATTTTATGAGGAAAAATCTAGATTCAGATTTGACTTCATAAATTTTAACATTTATCATATGAAAAATGAAAAGATTAGACCTTGTACTCACTATACTAAGATTTGCCAATGGGACAAGCAAAATTATCTTGTAAAAATACAAGAAATGTCTCTCTTGGAATGAGAATATAAAGCAAGAGTTCTTGAAATGAGACTAAATGGTTTTTGTCCCATTTCAAATCTTTTTTTTCAGACAGAATGTAATTAAGATACAAAACACTTGATTGAAGCCTATTTGACCTCATATTTCATCCTTGTTTGCAGTGTGTGCACTGAAAAAGAATAACAATTACAGCCAAACCAGCTCTAGACTAAGACTGACCACAACCATTTATCCACAATTCTCCACCACAAAGATAAAACATTTGCTGCTTGCTACAATGATCAGCTGCAGTACAGTTCAGTATAACAAGACTGTATATAATTCCTGTATATATATTTATTTTCTTCAGAAATCAGAACATCTATGGACCGCCTTCATGTACCGTCACCCCGTGCATCCCTACGCAGAGCTGGGGTTTGGGGGGAAGAACGAGCGGCTGCTGGTCTGGCTCTTTGGGCTGGAGTTCAGGACACAGACCTCGGTCCCCCTCACAGTGAAGCAGTGGTACCACGTGTGCATCACCTGGTCCCAGAATAAGACTGCTCCTGCTGTGTACCTCGACGGGGTCTCTCTGCAAATGGAACACGCAGGGTTCAGTGGTAGGAAAGAATCAAATATCTGAAGTTTTGTAGATTGTGATTTAGTTTAAGTTTATTAAGGAAAACCCCTTGAGATGAATCATCTAATTTTCGAGGGGGTCATAACCATAAATACAAACATATAAACAAACACGCATACACAATAACAATTTAAGGCGAATTAAAGATGAGAAAAGTTAAACACACACACAAAAACAAAACAAAAAAAGAAACAAATGCTCCTTCACACCCCACTCCTCCCTCTGCTGAAATTAAACATTAAGAAAAAGACAAAGTAAAACTATTAACAATGACACATACAGAATACAGAACATTAGTGACATGAACAAGGAGTTTCAAGGAACCAAAATAATTCAAATAAACCAAAAGACAGAATGGATCGTATGGATGTGGGGAGTTTATTCCAGTCTGATGGAGCCTTGTACTGAAATGATCTGCGTCCAACTTCTTTAAAAACTCTTGGAACAGAAAAGGTGAGACAATCAGAGCTTCGGAGTGAAAAAGGTGTAGAGACAGGGACAAAAAACTGTTTTAAATACTGCGGACAACTAAAATGAATACATTTAAATAATAAGTACATCCAGTGAAGGTGACGTCTGTTATGGGGTTGAAGCCAGAGAAGGTTCTCGTACAGAGTGCAGTGATGTGTTTGATATGGACATTTGAGGATGAATCTACAGAGACAGTTAAAAAGTGTATTGAGTGGTTTGAGATGGGAGGGAAATGTGTTTTGATAAATGACGTCAGCGTAATCAATGATGGGGAAAACCAGTTGTTTAATTGTGTGTTTTCTGACATTGAGGGTAAAGGAGTGAGATGATCAGAATAATTAGTTAATTTGCGTATTGTTGTGTATTATCGATACTGGAAGAAATCTCAATAATGTTCAATAATAGTGAATAGTGATAATAACAGGGATGAAGAAATGATAATAATGCATTGGTTATATATATAGCACTTTTTTGGAAACTCAAGACGCTTCACATGTCATTATTCATTCACTCCATACACGTTGGTGATAAACTACTACTGTAGCCACAGCTGCCCTGGGGCACACTGACATGATGGATGAAATTGGATCATCAACATCAGTCTTTACCACCCTCACTTATGTACTGTTGTCTTTAACTTTGATTGGCTTTAACAATATGAAGAGTGAAGTTTGGGGATAAGAAAAAAGTTACACAATACATAACTTCAACAAAGAAAATACTTGTTTCTGTCATGAGGTGAAGTGATGGAAGGAGCCAAATAAAATAAAAATGATTTCATGAACATAAAAGTCAAGGGCAGTAACATAATAAAACAAAAGGTAAAAAAGCAAATTCAACTTTTTAAACGGAACCAGGAACAAAGACAGACATTGACATTCACGTACAAAGATAATGGACCAGCAACACATGAGGAAGAGCACAGGTACAAACTCTAGACAGAAACACATCAGGGCAGACAAACAGGGGAACAAGACAGGAAGTTACACTAAAATGAAACCACAGATAACTTTATTTGCAGACTCGAGGTCTAGAACAACACAGACACAGACAAAAAACACAAAATAAAAGAACTAGTGTCAAAATAAAACTAATAAACAATACACAACATTTATTATGTGTTTTATTATGTGTGATGTCTTTCTGATCTAGACATCGTGTCTGTAATAACGTTTGATAATAATCTTCACACGTCTTTCCTTTGAATCCATCATGGCTGACCTCAGGGTTGTGCCTCTGCCTCGTGCCTCCAGCCCCCTCCTCCCCGTCCTGCTGTGAGCTGGCCCCTGGCGGCTCTCTGACCCTGGGAGCGTCTCATACTGTGGTGAGGGGACGCGTAGAGGTGCTGCCCGTGGGGAAGTTAAAGGGGAAGGTGTCTGTGTTCCGGATGTGGAGTCACGAGCGCAGCGAGGAGAAAGTGACATCAATGAAGTGCACAGAAGGGGGCGTGGTCAAGTGGGAGCAGAGCCAATGGGACACCAGCGCATGTCCTGCAGTACCCGACGTGAGTCTGCGATGTGGTGAGTACAAGATGTACAAATTTCTTGATATGAATCATAAAATATTGTAGATAAAGTGATAAGGATGACATTTCCAAGGTGTGAAAAATATTTACTCAATTTATTGTTTATTTGGTTGGGACAGTACATCAGAATCAGAATCATTTTTATTGCCACGTAAGTAACAGGAAGTCACAGACTTGGAAATTGCTTTGGCTCAGTGCAACAGTCAGAAAGAGATAATAAAACATAAAGAATAAAAAACACTTTTAAGGAATAAGTTTAAATTTAAAATAGAGTTACAGTTACTATTTACAATATACAAGTGCACATGGTGCACACAATGTAAGGTGACAGCAGTCACCTTACATTGCCCTTTGGGCTTGTAGTTGGTGATCTCCCGTAGGCCCCTCCAGACAGAAGCAGTATCGTTGTTACCAAACTGCTCCTGTAGTCGTTTTCTGTGCCGGGACTTGGCTGCTTTCAGTTCGTCCTTGAACTGATATTTAGCTGCTTTGTAGCCGCTGCGGTCCCCCTCCCTGAAAGCAGACTCCTTTGCTTTCCTGAGCTGCCGGAGTTTAGCAGTGAACCAGGGTTTGTCGTTGTTATAGATGACCCTGGTCCTTGTCGGAATGATGCTATCCTCGCAGAAGTGAATGTATGACGTCACAGTGTCCGTGTAGTCATCCAAACTGTCTGTGGCAGCTCTGAAAAGGTCCCAGTCTGTAGATTCCATGCATGCGCGCAGCTCTTCCACAGCTTCATCAGACCACACTTTGGAGCTCCTCACTACAGGTTTCGAGCGCTTTAGTCTCTGTCTGTAAGCAGGGATCAGATGTATCATGGAGTGATCTGAGAAGCCGAGGGCTGCTTTGGGAACAGCGCGAAAAGCACCGCGCACAGTGGTGTAGCAGTGATCCAGAGTGTTCTCCTCTCTGGTCGGGCATTTGATGAACTGTCTGTATTTGGGTAATTCCTGGCTCAAGTTTCCCTTATTAAAATCCCCCAGGATAATAATCAGAGAGTCCGGGTATAAACGTTCCATACACAGTACTTGCTCTGCAAGTGCACGCTGAGCCTCGCGCGCGTCCGCGCATGGCGGTATGTAAACAGAGGCAAGAATGAATGAAACAAATTCACGAGGGGAGTAAAATGGTTTACAATGAATGAAAAGATATTCCAGAGCAAGAGAACAGTGCTTGGAGATCACTGTCACATCGTTACACCAGTTTGTATTGACGTAGAAACAGAGCCCTAATGAACACATCACTCTGGAACGTACCATGGGCTAATTTCCATCGGTTGTCCCACATTCGCACTCGCAAACACACACTCATTCACCCTGAACTATTGCACATGTTTTTAGTAGTAGGGGAAACCGGAGTATAAGGAAACCTACTCAGACACGGGAAGAACATGCAAACTCCACCCAGAAAGGCCCTGTTCCTTCTTGCTGAAGGGTGCTATCAACTCAGCCACCGTGCCGCCCCAACCAGTGCTAACGATACATCTAGGCAAGGCAAGCTTAGTTGTATAGCACAGATCCTACACAAGGCAACTCCAAGTGCTTAATAAAACAATAAATGAAACAATTATTCAAGGCATTAAAATAATAAATAATCACAGTACATTAAAAAGAGTGTGGATAAAATCCTTCAGTTGTTGCACAGCTAAATAGAACTGTTATTAAACCTGGATTTGAACATTGTCAGAGAAGAAGCCTGTCAAACATTTAAACGTGAGACCCTAAGATATGGTCTGGGAATAATGATCCAGTGCTGGTCAAGTCAGGAAAAATAATCAAAATTCAACATGAAAAAAAAAGAAAATTAGGCTGGGGGGTGGGGGTCTTAGTCGGGGGCAGGATATCACAAGGGTTAAACTAATAATTGACAAAAAAAATTTCATTTAACATTATTTTACTGAACAAAATAAGTTTAGAAGAAATAGATGAAGTGACCAATGAATTGTGATCATCATGTGAGGAGTGAACTAATAATGGATCTTTGGAAATATGTGGAAAAAATAAAAACTTTAGAGACATCGGTACGGCTGTTTGCGAGGCTCATTGTTGTCTCTTGTGATGCATTTGTCGCCGTTAAAAGTACATTTTTACAATTTAGTTAATTATCAATTCAGTATTCATTCAAAAGTTCACATACAGGTGCAGTGCATGCTGGTCCGACCGCATGGGAACTGTGTCCTACAAAAAGCAGTAAACACTTGATGAAGCGTTTTACAGCCGCCTCTCCATCGGTTTTATATCTTTTAAATCTCAAACTCAATATTGACTTCCACCTCAGTGTCGGCTGAGCACACAGAAAACTGATTCAGTAGCAATTAACTTTTAGAACAGGTGCAATTACCACAAATGGACATGACTACGTAACCCCAATCCACTCGTTTTGTTATGCTCAGTATGTTTACTGTACTTGGGTGAATAAAATAATAATAATTGTATCATTGTCAAACACAAATGTTATATGCATGTTGGAGTAACAGAATACATGTAACGCCATTACATATTCACAATCCTCTTTTTGTATTGCTTTACAGTTACTACTTAAAGGTACTCTGTCATTTTTACAGTCGCTCCAAATGAAAAAACATGTTAACCAATAACAAATGTGATTATTTTAAAATATTTACCTCCACCATGTTTTTGAATTGTTGTCATAGACTTAGAATTTGACCTTTAAATGTACATGAGAGCTGGAGGACTCTCTGTGTCAATGCACCATCTTGGAATACAGTGGTTGACAAGGGACAAAAAGTGACCAAGAAGTATGGAGAGATTTGGTAATTTCTCAGTAAGTAACTAAGTAATCTTTATTTATATACCGTCTTTCACAGACCAGAGTCACAAAGCGGTTTACAGTGGTTATTTTTTGGGCAAATGTCCTCTCACTCCACATAGAGATGGGAGCGAGGTCCCCAGTACAGGAGGCACATGCCAGACCTAATGTACAGTGCCTTGTGAAAGTATTCGGCCCCCTTGAACCTTTCAACATTTCGCCACTTTTCAGGCTTCAAAAAAAAAAAAAATGAATCAACAAGTGGGACACAATCGTGAAGTGGAAAGAAATTTATTGGATCACTGAAACTTTTTTAACAAACAAAAACTGAAAAGTGGGGCGTGCAATATTATTCGGCGCCTTTACTTTCAGTGCAGCAAACTCACTCCAGAAGTTCAGTGAGGATCTTTGAATGATCCAATGTTGTCCTAAATGACTGATGATGATAAATAGAATGCACCTGTGTGTAATCAAGTCTCCGTATAAATGCACCTGCTCTTTGATAGTCTCAGGGTTCTGTTTAAAGCACAGAGAGAACCATGAAGACAAAGGAACACACCAGGCAGGTCCGAGATACTGTTGTGGAGAAGTTTAAAGCCGGATTTGGATACAAAAAGATTTCCCAAGCTTTAAAGACCTTATGCCGGGTTAAAAAAAAATAAATTGTGGATATCAAAATTGCATGACAATGTCGATCTGAAATAGATTCCGGCAAAAAACAATCCTATATTTTATAAAAAGAACGTGTTTTTTATGAATTTAAGTTGTCTATGCTCTAACCTGTGTGTGACGTCACAGCGGGTTACGCCCATGCATTGAAAACCATGGATCTATGCCACAGGACTGCCTTCTCTCTTCTCTCCACTGATGCCCAACACAATACTGCACTCTACAGGTGACAATTGCTCACTACACATAAATTGCCGTTTTGAAAGTGAAAATGTGTCTGAGGTGGGATTTGAACCAGTGCCAACAAGGAGTTACAATCTAGTAGTAATTTTACACTCGCTGTACACGGCCTTGTCATCTTGAATATCCGCGAAAAAAGAACGAACACCAAATTGTAAACAACTTACAGCGTAGACACGTACCCACTCTGACGTCACCAAGGGCTGTGAAGTTTTTTCGTCTCTAAGGGCGTTGCTATGGGGTTATTTCGATTTGGGGGGATCAGACAAAAAAAACAACTGATTTTGAAACCTTTAGTAGTTCTCTTCTAATATAAAATGGTATTAAAACTGTATTTCTAAATAAATCAAACCCGGCATAAGGTCTTTAAACATCTCAAGGAGCACTGTGCAAGCAATTATATTTTAATGGAAGGAGTATCAGACCACTGCAAATCTACCAAGACCCGGCCGTCCCTCCAAACTTTCATCTCAAACAAGGAGAAGACTGATCAGAGATGCAGCCAAGAGGCCCATGATCACTCTGGATGAACTGCAGATAACTACAGCTGAGGTGGGAGAGTCTGTCCATAGGACAACAATCAGTCGTGCACTGCACAAATCTGGCCTTTATGGAAGAGTGGCAAGAAGAAAGCCATTTCTCAAAGATATAAATAAAAAGTCTCGTTTAAAGCCACAAGCCACCTGGGAGACACACCAAACATGTGGAAGAAGGTGCTCTGGTCAGATGAAACCAAAATCAAACTTTTTGGCCACAATGCAAAACGATATGTTTGGCGTAAAAGCAACACAGCTCATCACCCTGAACACACCATCCCCACTGTCAAACATGGTGGTAGCAGCATCATGGTTTGGGCCTGCTTTTCTTCAGCAGGGACAGGGAAGATGGCTAAAATTGATGGGAAGATGGATGGAGCCAAATACAGGACCATTCTGGAAGAAAACCTGTTGGAGTCTGCAAAAGACCTGAGACTGGGACGGAGATTTATCTTCCAACAGGACAATGATCCAAAACATAAAGCCAAATCTACAATGGAATGGTTCACAAATAGACGTATCCAGGTGTTAGAATGGCCAAGTCAAAGTCCAGACCTGAATCCAATCAAGAATCTGTGGAAAGAGCTGAAGACTGCTGTTCACAAACGCTCTCCATCCAACCTCACTGAGCTCGAGCTGTTTTGCAAGGAAGAATGGGCAAGAATTCCAGTCTCTCGATGTGCAAAACTGATAGAGACACACCCCTAGCGACTTGCAGCTGTAATTGCAGCAAAAGGTGGAGCTACAAAGTATTAGCGCAAGGGGGCCGAATAATATTGCACGCCCCACTTTTCAGTTTATTTGTAAAAAAAGTTTAAATTATCCAATACATTTTGTTCCACTTCACGATTGTGTCCCACTTGTTGTTGATTCTTGACAAAAAATTAAATTTTTACATCTTTATGTTTGAAGCCTGAAATGTGGCGAAATGTTGAAAGGTTCAAGGGGGCCGAATACTTGTACATGTTTTTAGTGGTGGGAAACCGGAGTACCCGGTGGAAACTTACGCAATTTCTCAAACTATAGGATTCTTTACTTGGCCCCGGTTGGAATGAGCGGGAGTAGGGGACCACTGTCAAAGACGACATATTGTCCTTCGAAGCTTCCGTAGTACTGTAGACTGCAATATATGATCTCAACGCTAGATAGCAATAACTCCACCGTGTACCTTTAAATGCACTCGTACATGCACTTACCCTGAGAGCGAGGACCCCGCCAAGGCCACCCATTTTAAGAGGTCTTCCTTCACTATTTCAGCTCAGTCCTGCCTACAGACAAACACACACAATCACATTACTACTTATTTGGGCAAATGATGGTGCAACACTGTGAAACATGGAGGCATCACGTTTTTAAGGTTGAAAAAAAAGAAAAGAAAAGGTTGAATATTAAAGTGAAGAAGATTCTATTTTTTCTGATTGTTGAATGGCAGCTGTTGAAGCACTTTGACTTAACAATAATCAACAATTTATTGAAAAATTACAAAACATGGCATTTATACATTTATATGTAACATTTATAAACATTTATATGATGCTAAAAAGGGAAGACAGTCCAAGCAACAACAATCATTTCAGTGTCATTTGTCTCAGTGCCTTCTCCACATTCGTGACCAAACAAAACATTTCACTTTAAAATAACCAACGTAACATTTCACCTAACAACCAAAACAAATATGGATTTTTTTCAGAATGTTCCCATACAAAATAGTTCTTAAATCATGATAGAAAGGGCAGTAAAAAAAAAATGAAATCAATCTTAAACACATAAGTCACACAAAGACAGTCCCAGAGGTGCTGCCCCTAGAGGTCACATATTTATTATCACACTATACTGTATATGTTCTATTTTTTTACATATACAGTACAGACTGTCCTCTTCTGGGGCTGCCCTTGTAACGCCGTACTTCCACCTCTTGGAGCAGCACCTTCACATATTTATTATCATGCTGTATATGTTTTTTTGACAGAGTGGTCCAGCTATAAAGTAAAGTTACTGTTTGGCATTCTCCGCGACGACGGCAAGAACTGCACCGAGTTGTACATGGCCAAAGATATCGCACAGCGCTGGGTAAGGACAACACAAAGACGACACAATGGTAGAAGTTATTACACAATGACTGTTTTAGTGCTACAATAATAATACCACTTCACTATTTACTCGTACATGTACTTACCTCAAGGCCAAGGCCACCCATTTTAAGAGGTCTTTCTACCTACTATCCCATTTACTGTTTCAGCTCAGTCCTGCCTACAAACAGACAAACACATACAATCACATTACCACTCGGTTGGGTAAATATACTTTAACAAAACAAAAAAATCAATAAATGCAAGATGCTGCAACACTGTGAAACATGGAGGCAAAGCAATAACCCTCCATTAGGGACCATAGACAGTAAATATCAAATTAGGGACATAACAATAGTAGATTTTAGTGTAATGTGAGCAGAAAAAATACAAATAAATCGCCATCAACAGAGAATTCAAAAACTCGTAAACTAGATAGTTTAATAATACATTTGATATGGCATTGTGTATGTTTTTGGGAGTAGCTATATCACTTTTTTGTATAGTGTTCACATGACATTTCCCCAAGACCTGAATAATCAGAGAGAGCAAGTAGAATATCCAGTTAAGAATATGCAGATATGTTTAACTAATGCTCTTTTTAACTGCATTTTAGACCTGAAATCCTGGATAGCAGAAAACTTTCTCCAGCTTAACCAGGACAAAACTGAGGTTTTAGTCATCGGTCCTGAGGCCCAGAGAGAGAAACTTTTACCAAAACTCCAATCACACTCTTTTAATCCATCATCACAAGTGAAAAACCTGGGCGTAATCTTTGACTCTGAGTTGATTTTTATTCCTCACATTAAGAACATCACAAAAATAGGTTTTTATCATTTAAAGAACATCGCCAGAGTCCGCCCCATTCTCTCTCGGGGCAACACGGAGACGCTGATGCATGCTTTTATCACCAGTCGCATTGACTACTGTAATGCCCTGCTCTCTGGTCTTCCCAAAAAGAACATTTCAGATTTACAATTACTCCAAAACTCGGCCGCACGTGTCCTGACTAAGACCAGGGGGCGGGACCACATTACACCGGTTTTAAAATCGCTGCATTGGCTCCCCGTGTGTTTCAGGATCGATTTTAAGGTTCTTTTAATGGTCTTGGGCCTTCTTATCTTTTTAGAATTGCTTTTATCCTATGAACCTTCCCGGCCCCTGCGCTCCTCCGGCAGCAGACTTCTAACCATCCCCAAAGTCAGGACACACACTCACGGTGAGGCATCTTTCCAGCACTACGGCCCCCGTCTCTGGAACAGTCTGCCGGAGGAGCTCAGGGCCGCAGAGAACATTCATATTTTGAAAAGCAGGCTCAAGACGCACCTTTTTAGATTAGCTTTTGACTAGTATTTATTATTTATTGTTAATGCATTTTAGTTAATTTATTAATGTATTTATTCTTATTTTATCTATTTTGTCACTTACTATTTTTATTATTGATATTAGGCAGCAGAGTTTCACATTTTAATGTTTTACTTTGTATTGTATTGTTAGGTATCCCCAGTGCTTCCTCTGGAGGAGCCCTCTGCACTGGGAGCTGGGGTCTGCTGTGGCCGCGAGGGTCTGGCTCTGGGTCCTATGGGGTCTGACTCCTGGACCTGGTGGGTCCTGTTGTCCTCTGTGGCTGCAGCTGGCTCTCTGCTCCTGGTGCAGATGGCTCCTTGGATGGCGCTTCTTCAGCCGGTTACATCTGCACTCAGCCCTCTATCTATCTTTTTATAGTTTTACTTATTGTACCTGATGTGACTTTATATATGTATGTCTCTGTGTGTGCGTGTGTCTGTTTTTAACTAAACTGTAAAGCACTTCGTGTTGCATTGTTTGAATGAAAAGCGCTTTATAAAATTTGATTGATTGATTGAACTAGAACTAAATACACTATACGAATGAATGTAAGTTTCAAGTTTGATAGAGAGGCAGCCATTACTGTTTTATACTTTTAACCATATTTTATGCGTTTATAGCCTTTTTGTTTTGTGAAATATCTCTCAAATCTAATGCATACTTCAATTTTATCAATATCCCACTTTTACTGTTGTGTGCAATGTTACAGTTGGAGAAAGTGCTCCACACCTCATCGGTCTCCATACCTCTGGTCTCTGTGTTTGAGAATTCGGTCTCATTCAGGTAGATCTATGTCTAACAATAAAAATAAAAATAAACACAACATACATTCATTATTGCTATTTTTTCCTCAGGTCTGACACTGACTGGTTTCAAACGGTAAGAGCTGTAGACTTGCATCTTGCATGTGAAGTTTGAGTAATACATCTTTTTTTCAGACCTACATAGTGAGAAGTAAATGAAATAGTCAAGACTGCATAAGTGTACTAAAATAATACCTCAATTAGAAAAATAAATTATGTATGTTTAAATGTTATATCTAAAGTCCTGTTTTGTTATCCGTCTAGAGTACATACATATAAATCCTTTCAGAGTATACTTTAGTAGAGTAGAGTAGAGTAGCGTAGCGTAGAGTAGGGCCTGGTGGAAACAGAGCTGAACTGTTAAATACTCTGTCTTTTTATACACAGAAACGATGGGCTCCAATTTCAAGCAGGTAACTTCTTAATTGCATCAGTTTGTATAAAAAATAAAAAAATAAATGCTTTTTCCTTCTAGTTTTCGTTGTCTCGCACTCATGACCGTCATTCCCGGTTTGGACGTGGGATCGTGGCAGTCGGAGGTCTGCAAACTCTTAAGTGATGTAAGAACATTTTCATTTAAAACATGATGGATAACTTTTGCTCAACATTGTATTTAATATGAATGAATATTTTTATTAAAGTGTCATACACAAACAGTATGTACCCAGCCCTCATGGGCTTATATGACACTATCAACAGTAAGGAAAATAAAGCCACACCAAAACCTGGACAAAGATAAACAGTTACTATCTCTCCGGATATAAAGTCCTTTGTCTCAGCGTCCAGGGCTTTTCTACAAAGTTTGCTACTGCAAAAAATTCATTTTCAAATATCCAGCACAATCTATCACCATCAGGATGCCAAAACAAATCAGGATTTTTACAATGAATCTTTGTGAGCAATACCATTCTTAGAGCATTGTACAAAGGACAGTAAAACAAAAAATGAAATTCAACCTCCACTACTCCCAGCTCATACAAAGCAGTCAACCATCCATCCATCCATCCATCTTCTACCCTTTTAATCCATTTCTGGGTCAGGGGGGTGGCAGTCAGAGATGCCACCCAAGTCTCATAGCACCAGCCATCTTGTGAAACCCCCTTGTCTAACAAATCTGAACATATAAGGGACGAAAGAATAAAAACTATGCTATTACTACTATTTTTGTGTTATAAAAATTGTAATGAGACTTTTTAGTTTGTCATTCCACATTTTAAAATGTGAAATAATAAATAACATTAAAAAATATAGTATAAATGCTTTCTGCTTGTAACTCCCTTGGCCACCACCAGAGGGAGTTTTTGTTCAAATGTATTATTGTATCATTATATGGAAACTGAAAGAGCAGAGATGGTAACACATAAAACCACTGATCAAAGACAACACACATATTCTTGTTTTGAATTTTGTTGACCAAGAATAAAGCTCTCAGCACAGGTTCAAACAATGGGAGAGAGGTGTTGGGTCCGTGTTTTGTCTTTGTGTTTGTCTCATACCATGGGTTGTGGTGTATTGTGTTGTATAACTATGTATTGTGAATCTGAATTGCACTGTGATACAAGCGTTTACTTGAACCAACCTATTTTCAAACCTGGTTCTGCTGTTTTTATGCATATGAAATATATTGTGCGGTATTTAAAGTGATAGTATGTAGCTCTAAATGAATTACAAATTTTAGGAAATGTATTAAATTGACCACCTGGCCTTAAATGTTGATATAAGTAATTTTATTATTTCTAATATTACGGGCAAGTCCCGCCTTCCCTTCACTTAGCTATAGCTCAGAATTCACGGTGCCGTCCACGTTAACCAATCGAGTCATGCCAAGGGCTGTCAATCATCGGCGCTGATGCTTGCAGCTGCATGCATGCTCAGTTGTTTGTTTTCGCGGAGCCTCCGAATCAAGCCTCTATTAGGTTCTGGAACTTCATGAAAACTGAACAAAGAATTCTGAACATCTGCGCTGAGTCCCCAATTTATATACTGAACCTATATCCATAATAATTTATATACTGAACCTATATCCATAATCAGATCCTCTGCAGATGTGTCCTAAAATGTGCAATTCATGATAATAGCTTGTTCAGGGGTTTGCCGTGATCGTTTTTTGTGTGCATAAAAAATTTTTTTTCATTAAAACGTTAACAAACAATTCAGAAAACCTCCGTGCATGTGTATTAATAATGTATATGTATAATGTGTTCTCTCATTAACATTTAAAAGTGTTACGGAAACGTAGGTGTAGACCAATCAGAAAGGAAGGGGGAGGGAGCTTGCGTCGTTTTTTTCAAATCAAGTACCTCTCTGTCTCTCTTTCTGGCAAACTCCAGACAATCACTTTAAGCAAATAATTTTAGAAAAATGCAAACAAATAATATGCACACAGTAATAATTTCTCTTCCTTATACTGTACGTCGCTCAGGGATTTGAAGACACCAGCACTGGCTTTCGTCTAGAGATCGAAATAACCAGCATCTACGTGACTGCAGTGGGTGAGGATCTGAGCAGGACATCACAGGCCACAAATCAACATGAACTCTCAAAGCCTGTTATTATGTTATGTAACTTTATAAAATACAAATACAAAATTTCCTTATTCACAAAAACAACTTAGGGGAAGGTTTTAGGCAAATCCTCAGGACATCAAAACTTAATCTGTTCAGAAACAGATATACAAAAGACATATTTCAAATCACCTACAGTTAATCATTTTGGAGTCCTTTCACAATAAGCAACAAAGAGATACATTTAGTGCATGTGAATGTTGTACAGTGCCTTGCGAAAGTATTTGGCCCCCTTGAACCTTTCAACATTTCGCCACATTTCATGCTTCAAACATAGAGATATAAAAAATATTTTTTTTGTCAAGAATCAACAACAAGTGGGACACAATTGTGAAGTGGAACGAAATTTATTGGATAATTTAAACTTTTTTAACAAATAAAAAACTGAAAAGTGGGGCGTGCAATATTATTCGGCCCCTTTGCGCTAATACTTTGTAGCGCCACCTTTTGCTGCAATTACAGCTGCAAGTCGCTTGGGGTATGTATCAGTTTTGCACATCAAGAGACTGGAATTCTTGCCCATTCTTCCTTGCAAAACAGCTCGAGCACAGTGAGGTTGGATGGAGAGCGTTTGTGAACAGCAGTCTGCAGCTCTTTCCACAGATTCTCGATTGGATTCAGGTCTGGACTTTGGCTTGGCCATTCTAACACCTGGATACGTCTATTTGTGAACCATTCCATTGTAGATTTGGCTTTATGTTTTGGATCATTGTCCTGTTGGAAGATAAATCTCCGTCCCAGTCTCAGGTCTTTTGCAGACTCCAACAGGTTTTCTTCCAGAATGGTCCTGTATTTGGCTCTATCCATCTTCCCATCAATTTTAGCCATCTTCCCTGTCCCGGCTGAAGAAAAGCAGGCCCAAACCATGATGCTGCTACCACACTGTTTGACAGTGGGGATGGTGTGTTCAGGGTGATGAGCTGTGTTGCTTTTACGCCAAACATATCGTTTTGCATTGTGGCCAAAAAGTTCGATTTTGATTTCACACATGTTTGGTGTGTCTCCCAGGTGGCTTGTGGCAAACTTTAAACAAGACTTTTATGGATATCTTTGAGAAATGGCTTTCTTCTTGCACTCTTCCATAAAGGCCAGATTTGTGCAGTGCACGACTGATTGTTGTCCTATGGACAGACTCTCCCACCTCAGCTGTAGTTATCTGCAGTTCATCCAGAGTGATCATGGGCCTCTTGGCTGCATCTCTGATCAGTCTTCTCCTTGTTTGAGATGAAAGTTTGGAGGGACGGCCGGGTCTTGGTAGATTTGCAGTGGTCTGATACTCCTTCCATTTCAATATAATTGCTTGCACAGTGCTCCTTGAGATGTTTAAAGCTTGGGAAATTTTTTTGTATCCAAATCCGGCTTTAAACTTCTCCACAACAGTATCTCGGACCTGCCTGGTGTGTTCTTTTGTCTTCATGGTTCTCTCTGCGCTTTAAACAGAACCCTGAGACTATCAAAGAGCAGGTGCATTTATACGGAGACTTGATGATAAATAGAATGCACCTGTGTGTAATCATCAGTCATTTAGGACAAAATTTGATCATTCAAAGATCCTCACTGAACTTCTGGAGTGAGTTTTCTGCACTGAAAGTAAAGGGGCCGAATAATATTGCACGCCCCACTTTTCAGTTTATTTGTTAAAAAAGTTTAAATTATCCAATACATTTCGTTCCACTTCACGATTGTGTCCCAGTTGTTGTTGATTCATGACAAAAAAAATATTTTTCTTATCTTTATGTTTGAAGACTGAAATGTGGCGAAATGTTGAAAGGTTCAAGGGGGCCGATTACTTTTGCAAGGCACTGTATTTAGTCGCATTTAGTTGTAGATTTATAAATAATTATTTACATTCACTAGTGCTTTTTTGATTATTCAATTGTAAATTATTATTATATCTTCATATGTTTTCTCCCCCTCCCTTTCCATCTTCACACCCATATGTCTGTGTCTGACTGTCTGTTTTTTACATGTACGCATTTATGTAGTTACAGTGGGGCAAAAAAGTATTTAGTCAGCCACCAGTTGTGCAAGTTCTCCCACTTAAAATAATGAGAGGTCTGTAATTTTCAAGTACACTTCAACTGTGAGAGACAGAATGTGAAAAAAAAATCCAGGAATTCACATTGTAGGATTTTTAAAGAATTTATTTGTAAATTATGGTGGAAAATAAGTATTTGGTCAATAACAAAAATTCAACTCAATACTTGGTAATATAAACTTTGTTGGCAATAACAGAGGTCAAACGATTACTATAGGTCTTTACCAGGTTAGCACACACAGTAGCTGGTATTTTGGTCCATTCCTCCATGCAGATCTTCTCAAGAGCAGTGAACACGGACTTTTAACTCCCTCCACAGATTTTCAATGGGGTTCAGGTCTGGAGACTGGCTAGGCCACTCCAGGACTTTCAAATGCTTCTTACGGAGCCACTCCTTCGTTGTCCGGGCGTGTGTTTGGGATCATTGTCATGCTGGAAGACCCAGCCACGTTTCATCTTCAAAGCTCTCACTGATGGAAGGAGGTTTTGGCTCAAAAGCTCACGAGACATGGCCCCATTCATTCTTTCCTTAACACGGATCAGTCGTCTTGTCCCCTTAGCAGAAAAACAGCCCCAAAGCATGATGTTTCCACCCCCGTGCTTCACAGTAGGTATGGTGTTCAAACAGGTGCCATTAATACAGGAGTGGAGGACAGAAGAGCTTCTTACAGAATAAGTTATAGGTCTGTGAGAGCCAGAGATCTTCCTTGTTTGAAATTACCAATTATTATAATATTCCTTATTTTCCACCATAATTTACAAATAAATTCTTTAAAAATCCTACAATGTGAATTCCTGGATTTTTTCTTCACATTCTGTCTCTCACAGTTGAAGTGTACCTATGATGAAAATTACAGACCTCTGTCATTATTTTAAGTGGGAGAACTTGCACAATCGGTGGCTGACTAAATACTTTTTTGCCCCACTGTATGTATATGTTAAACGAATGTATACCCTTTTCAGCTGATATATATGTACATAGAAAATATAAAAAGTTTTAAAAAGTAATATGATTGAGATGATTGAATGCTCTCTGGAGGCCTCAGATGTCTTTGATTAGTTGATTAACATTTTGAAATATATATTATTTTATCATATTTTACAGCCAGCATCACAACGCCCCCTGCCACCACCACAGTTACAACCACACCGGAGCAGACCACTCCCACCACACTTTTCACCCCCAGTGCTGCTACCCCCACAATGGCAACCACATCTTCCTCCATGTCTACCCCCACAGTGGCTGCAACATCTGCCTCCACATCTACCCCCACAGTGGCTGCCACTTCTGCCTCCATGTCTACCCCCACAGTGGCTGCCACATCTGCCTCCACATCTACCCCCACAGTGGCTGCCACTTCTGCCTCCATGTCTACCCCCACAGTGGCTGCCACATCTGCCTCCACCTCTACCCCCACAGAAGCTGCCACATCTGCCTCCATGTCTACCCCCACAGTGGCTGCCACATCTGCCTCCACGTCTACCCCCACAGAAGCTGCCACATCTGCCTCCATGTCTACCCCCACAGTGACTGCCACATCTGCCTCCATGTCTACCCCCACAGAAGCTGCCACATCTGCCTCCACGTCTACCCCTACAGTGGCTGCCACATCTGCCTCCACGTCTACCCCCACAGTGACTGCCACATCTGCCTCCATGTCTACCCCCACAGAAGCTGCCACATCTGCCTCCATGTCTACCCCCACAGAAGCTGCCACATCTGCCTCATCATCTACTCCCCCAGTGGCTGCCACTTCTATCCCCACATTTGCCTCCACAGTACGCGAGACGACCAGTATAGTGAACCCGACAGGTCAGTTTGTTCTGCTATCAATTGTCTGACAAAAAAATAAGTAAATAAATAAAATCCAGTGCCTTGGTTGGGTCTTCATGGAGTTTAGAGTTGGGGAGCCTAACCCTGTATATCGAAAAACAGCTTCAAGACAAAAATAAGGCTGTACATAATTTTTTGAAATAAAAAACTGTTCTGTGGATTGTGACTAAAAACACATCCACAATATAGATGAACTTAAAAAATTCCTTTACCTGATAAAAACACAAAACAATAGTGGCTATTCATTTTTGAAAGAGCTCAAAATAGAATAGAATAAAATGTATTGTCCCTTGAGGGAAACTTGTCTTGGACCCAAGACAGGAGCCCAACAAGAAATACATAAACAGCTGCTTAATTGGCTTGTCTCATGGTTTGTTTAAAATGTTAATTATTGTGTGTCATAATCAAGATTAGATTTTTATGTCCATTATGTTAATATTGATAATGTAACTCGTGCCTGTCTTTGTAGACTCTCTGTCCACAGCAGTGAGTCCTTCTGCAGAGGTAATGTCCACCTGGACAGAACCAGCAACAAGTCCCAGTGTCTCCAGTGAGTTTGAACCACAGCATGAAGCAAACACCATCAGGAGGAAGTTGCAATCAGACAATAACTACTTTATTGCAGCCACAACACCTTACTCCGTCTGGAGGCTGATGAGATTCAATATTAGTTTGTGATCAAAAGAACCGCAAAAAAGCTTTCCGAACTGAAAATGTCTGAGTGTCTGAGTTCTCAAAAGAGAACTGCATGACCAGGCAGTTTCACCAAAAAATAATGCATTTCTTTCATGATCAAAATATATATATTTTTACATCAATTAGGTGAAATTGGATGATTTCCCATGGCACACTGTATTACGACATCAAGCAGAACAGTGTGACGAGGCACAGACACACAGGGAATAGAAAGAATCCCACAATTTGTGAAGACATTTCTCTCAGTATTGAACATTCAAATGTCGCTGCTTTTAGCAATTTCATTACTCACAATGTTATTACTGGTTATTTCCAAAACAAACATCTGGTCAGAAGGAATGCAAACGATTATTTTTTTGTATAATAGATTCTTTTGATTAATCGATTAGTTGTTTACCAATTGTTGTTGTTTAGAGTTATATTTGACCTCTGTTTGACAAATATAAATCTGAACTAAAACCAGCAGAGGACGTCCGGAAAGAAACAAAACATTTACCACATTTTGGAATTATTTTTAGTTGTTCCTCTGTTTATGCCTTATAATCACAACTCTGCATGAAAATATGTTTTAGAGTCTGTTTAAATAGCAGTTTATTGACTGATTACTAAAATAGTTATTGATCATTGGAAATATTCTAATCTAATCTTTAATGTACTGATCAGCAATTTGTGGTCATAAAAAACAACTTGTATTATTCTTTTTAACAGTGTTCTACTTTGAGGTCCAGGTGAACGTGTCCACAGCAGGAGTCCGTGACCCCGAGCGAGCTATCTACTCCTGGGTATGCGTTTTACAGAGTTGCCCTTTATGAATAATATACAGTATAATAATAATAATAGAATCTCAATTTTGAACAAACTAAACTTTACAGCTCAACTCCAGTTTACCCAACAACACAATGACTGTACTGGACCTGCAGCTGCTCTCCAAAACCACAAAGTACAATACAATATTCTATCAGTAAATGTTAATAATTATAATAAATATTCTTCTTACTCTGCAACAGAATTTACCACAGCATTCGCACCAGAGTGAGTATTACCATAAATAAAGTGCACAACTCCAAATAATGGCGGAATTCTCAGACTAATCAAAAGAAACAATTTTAAATCTAATATTTTCTATTTAAGGCACTAACGAAGAGCATTTCCAGGTAAGAACTTTTGTGCAATGTAGAATAACAAAACTATATGTACTAAACTTTCATTCAAAAACAATTACCTTATCCTGTTTGTCTTCATGCAGAGAGAGCTGTGTTTTTCAAGTGGAGGTGTCCATGTTGAACTTTGAGCCTTCGGAAATCGAGAAACTGATTCAATGTCTTTTAGAGAAACCTTTTAACAACGGGTCAGTGTCCATCGATGCCGAGAACATCCTCATCAGCCGCATCTGTGAGTTTGCTGTAATTCTGCTACTAAGCTCTACTGAAGTGAGTCATGTTCTCAAAATATCGCAAATGAATGCGGTTGGCAACATGCGCTGGGGCAGTTTCCAGCCGAGTGAGAAGCTGCAGGTATAAAAAGAACTTTCAAATCAGATGCCATGATCCTCAACAGCAGGAGCAGGTGGAGGAAAGGTCCTTCCCCAAGTGAAGAAGTTCAAAATACCTCTGGGTCTTGTTTACAGTGAGACTCTACTCAGTCTGTTGTCTTCATGACCAAAACGAACAAAGCAGAAGAAAATGGATTATATAATGGAGCAGAGTTCAGACATTGGGAAATATCTGAGCACAGAGGCAGAGAGGGTTCAATCCTCTACCGACCAGTTCTGTTTGGAGTTCTCCCCATGTCTGGATGAGCTCCCTCACTGCAAAAAGTGATGAAAAATAAGTCAAAATTGAAAGTTGAATTGCCTTAAAACAAGATTTGCTAATGTGACAAGCAAAATTATCTCGTTTTAAAAAGATACAAGAAATGTCAACCCTTGGAATGAGAAAATAAAGCAACAGTTCTTGAAATTAGACTAAATGGCCTGTCCCATTGGCAAATCTTGTTGCAGTTCTCCGGGCTTTCCAGTTTGCCCTCACCACCCGAAGACTATGGTAGTCCTGTCCAGGCCGAGCATCAACATCTGGGTTTCCAGGCGTTGAGCTGCAGCGATCAATGCTCCTAACATAATATACAATACAAAGGCTGGTACAAATGCTGAGGACATTTTTCCTTTTTGGGACAGTGAAGCTTACTTAAACCGTAACTATAAGTGTAGTTTATTTTCAGAAACGTAAAAGGGACAAATTTTAAAACTCCTAGTGGTGAATTTAAAAAAAATCCTGCAGACCTTAGGCCAGTCCATAGCAAACTAAAATGTTCTTACTATGTTTGAACCTCACAAATGTAGCACGGCTTAAATTAACTTAACACGTTCATTAAAGCCGAATGTAAACACAGCAAATAAATCTCACGAGGCCTTGTCCATGTGCTGAATGTTGTGGCAATTTCCTCATGCTGCGTAAGATCTTGTCCCATCCCTAACGTAACACATTCTGGTGTCTTTCCGTTCACAGATCTTTTTGAGTGCTCCGCTGAAGTCCGTTTCACCAGAGAGGGAGTGTTCCGATGGCCTCGCACTTCAGGAGGCAGAAACGCGATGCTACAATGCCCCAAAAGCCCTCGTCACAAAGCCACACGTCACTGGTGAGTCAGGAAGTATTAAGGTCAAGACATTGGTTGTGACTAAACACAGTCACAACCAAGTTTGCAGCTAGATTTTAATAATATTTTTTTTCTTTCATGAACAGATGTACTGCGATTATACATGGGTTTTCTTGAATCATGACTTAAGACAAACATTAAGAGATCAATTATTCTTCCTTCAGTGGGAAATTTCAGTGTTGCATCACCGGTTATGGAAAGAACAGTAGGAATGAGGAGCACAAAGTCACTGCTTAAAGTTGTGTGCTCCTCATCACGGCACGGTGGCTGAGTGGATAGCGCTCTCGCTTCTCAGCAAGAAGGTCCTGGGTTTAAATCCCAGTCGGAAAAGGTCCTTTCTGAGTGGAGTTTGCATGTTCCCCCCGTATCTGTAGGTTTCCTCCGGGTGCTCCGGTTTCCCCTACCACTAAAAACATGCACAATAGGTATGAATGTAGATGAGAGAGTGAATGGATGGTGTTGATTGGGTCCAGTGTGTTCGGCGACTCGCTTCAGTCATCACCGTGGAAAAATATCTGAACTCTGAACAGTGTAAAGCGCTTTGGGTGACGTTGGTCTGTAAAATGAGCTATATAAATAAACATTATTTACTAATGCACTAGAACTGAAAAAAACAGCACTGCTATTGGCACTTTTTATTGCCACTTTATATTGTACATCATTATATCCTGCACAGATTATATCTTTAACCTTGTCATGTTAGCACACTTCTGTCTTTTGCACATATCTGAGTGATTCCATCTGTGCCAAATGTGACATGTATATTTCTCTAGCGTGAGATCAATAAAGTCTATCTTATCTTATCACACAATAAAATAGAAGCATAAAATCTCTAGCTATAGCAAATCTAAAATCTCCATCTTAAGCATAATAAAGAAGCAAGAATTAAGAATATAATCTGACTTTAGCGTAATAAGAAGTACATAATTTTTCCCTACTTGTTTTGCGAAGAACTTTGTCTGAACTGTGCGATAAAAATAAACTAGCCTTGCCGACAAGCCATAATAACAAGTTACGGTGTATGGTTACAGGTTACTAAATTATATAGCAGCAAATAAACAAGATAAAACCCTTGAGCATGTAGCAAAGGCGCTACAAAAACAGAAAAATACAGACTCATTGATGCAAAGCCCTCAAAATACAATCTCAAGTGGGTAAACAAGAAAATATTTGAAAATGCAATATTACAGACGCCCCCTTTAATTGAAATATGAATCATCTTTGCCATTGTAATTTGTCACCTATGAACTTGTGTCAATATAAGTTTAATACATCAGTAAACTAAAGCTTGTCAGCAATTGATTTTTCCCCGGTTTTATTTACAAACCCGTCACGCAATTCTGGGCCCTTTTCCACTTGTCGATTCTCTGCCATAAAGTATTACGGGGAAACCGCTTCGGTACAAGCTGTAAAAGGATTAGGCCGGATCCCAGGACATCAACACGATTTCATATTTACTTAACTACATCACGTTATTTGATTTATTTTATAACAAACTCAGTACACAAGACGTGAGGATAACAGATAAGGACTTTTAGTGGATAAATGATTGACAGTTAATCCTGTAGCACCCAGATAAATGGTTATGGCAAAATGAATGCATTAAACCAAAAAGTCATTTAAGTAGCAATATGTAAGATTGTCATAAATTACCTTAATGTGTCAAAAGTCATTAATAAGCCTGCTCTTTTCGAATACTTCTTTATCTGATTTTAGATGTCCCGTTCTCCACCGTTTTACCAATCAGAAAGTAGGAGATCCGGGTTGACAGAACTCACAGCGTCGAGCTAATCTCACTGGAAAAGTACCATGTGACCGCAGAACTAAAAAAGGTCTTATGATCCTCAAATCATTCATGACAAAACAAGGAATCAAACCAGGACTTCTATCGGGGCCTTTGCGAAAAAGGTGTTGGTTATAGATTTGTTGTTGAAAAAACTCAGTATGGTCCCAGCTGGATTAGTCTGCATAGGGTAGAGGGAGAGGTTGCAGTACCGCTTTTGGCCAGATTTTTACATACTGCTCCTTTCACTAATGTATGTACCCAAGAACCCAAAGATCGTTTTATGTCTGGGTTCTATTGGGTTAAAATACTGCATCAAGAGAATCTTAAAATGTGTTGTATGAATGAAATAACTACAAATGAAGGAGGTTTTCCCTGTTTTTTCTTGCAGCAAAATCTGTCTTCACACGTACTGGCAGGTGGCAGACATGAGTAGCTGCCCTTTAGTCGTGGAGGTCATTCCTGATTTGGACCAAGTTACCGTTACCAAAGGTTTGTCTCATGTTTAGTGCAGAGTTTCATAATCTTTACCAGATCTGGCATCCTGCATTCATGAAAAGCAGAAAGCAGGAAATACTATTGTCAAAACAGCCTAATAAAGAACCGTATGTAGTTTGTGCCCCTACTGCGTCTATTACAATTAAAATCCAACTTCACTTTTGTTGCCAGAATCTTACCATACGTGACACATTTAGCACCTAAACATGGATTACAAATGCAAAACTAGCTACTTTGTCTTTAACGGCAACTATTTTTTGCAATCCAAAATTGGGTTGTAAAGAAACTGGCAACACAGAAGAGACTTCTGCTCTCTGATTAGGTATCTGCGTACAAACATATGTGGATATCTTTGTACTTTCAATTTAGAATAAATAAAAACACTTAAAACTTTTGTTCAGAAAAGGTCAAATATGATTGGTACACATTGACCTATAATCTGGGTACATAAAGATATAGATGTAATTCAAATGTTTTAATGTTCTGGTTTATAGATAAGTTACTGCCTTGTTTGTTTGTTTATTTTCAGACAATGCAAAGGACGTTTTGGACATGATTGTGGACCTGCTGAAGAACCAGTCCAGTCTGAACTTTGATGATTTGAGCACAGTCCTGAGCAAAGTGGAGGACATTATAGACATGAGCGTGGTGACTCCTCCACTGGGACAGGCTCTGCTCAACGTGATCTCTGACGTCCTGCAGTCTCAGAGCAACTTAGTGCCCTTCACCAACATGTAAGAGACACTTCGAAACAATATTGATAGAAATATCACTGAGATATGAAATTAGGGAAAAGACAGTACAGATGAACCAACATTACTGTAACTGTGCCAATATTATCTACCCAGTTACCTGTTAAATGCAGGCAAAAATTCTACAAACATTACAATATTAAAATATCCGGTTCATTAGCATTCATTTATTATCCGCAACACTTTATAACATCTCCGCCTTAAGGACTTATGGGTAAGAATCCTGTAAATACCTAAATACGCATACATCAACTTTCCCCTCTTTAAATAACTTTGACAAGGGTTATTGCACAGTTTAGCTTCACTTGCGGTGATTAATTGCCCCAATTTGTATTCTGTCACTGTCGGCCCCTGGCTCTCTGCTTCACTATGTTTCTGGAGCAGTTTAATGTTTTAGTCACAAATTATGACCAAAAAAAAGCAGCACAGCGACTAGAAAATGAGGAGAGAAACTCAAGACAAATTATTTTCTAATCTAGTGTGTTCCAGGCTTTGTTCATCCTTAATTAAGCACGAAGGAAGACTGTGCAAAGTTTACAGGATATTATTCAGGCTTTTTAACTTCCTAATACTCTAATCCGAGCTCGAAAAACTAACACTGTAACTTGAGTCAATAGCGACTAATCTGAGACGTTTTCTTAATTAACTAAATCTTCCAGTTTTTAAAAGGCTACTTAAAAGGGATAATGGGCATATCACAAAACAGTTTGGTGAAACAAAAACAAAAAATTAGCTAATAATAAGAGGCTTCAACCACAACTAAAATGCTCCCACTTTAAGACAAATACAAATATTGAGGCTCCAAAATTATTACTTCTATCCATCAATTATTGAATATTAATAGAGTATAGTTAATCTCATGAATTGATATAAATGGAATATTATAATAATTCATTTAATCACAGCCTAGCCAGATGTGGGAATGAAAATAAAAAAATGTCATTTGCGGAAGTGCAAATATCAAACAATAATTTATGTGAATGAGTGTTTATTTATTTTGAGTTCAATGTATATTACACCTGAGTTATAAAATGTCACTATTTTCTGGCAAATAATTCACTTACAATTTCTCATAACATTTTTTTTTACATTATTTAAACAAAAAAAGGAGTGGGAGGAAAAAAAATTGTATAAGTTGAAACACAAGTCAACGCAAACAGGATAGACAAGCTAATAATGGTTACAATCCTTGACAAAAATAACACATTAAGATAATTTAATGTATTCAACACTCATAACATACAACATTGTAAAAGTATTTGGTCCTCTACACTCTAACCAAGAGCTAGCTCCTTAGCAACGGTTGCCATGATCAAAATGAAGTTGCCTGGCCTGCCAAACGATATGCTTTTTCAAAGACATATAGTCTGGGAACGAGCTTGATCTCAGCGAATTCCCGGTGGGCGTGGTTGACAGACTGCATCAACCAATTAGATGCACACAGGATATGACGCAGCAACTAGCGGCACCCAAGCCGTTTCAGTAAACACAAAACAAGGGATGGCGGCATGTCAGCTAGTGCAAATGTAAACGACTGCTGTCGATTTTGTAACAAAAACTTAAAGATACGAGGAGTTATTAGCAACTCAAAGGTGAAAGGAAGTCCCGCCTCTCGGTGCGTGATTGGACCGATGTGGGTAAAATCGTGAAATGATAGGCTAGGAAGAGGTGTCCAGACGGTTCTTCTTTTGAACAGAAAGGAGGAGTGTCTGGCAGGCCAGGCAAAAAATGAAGATGCATAAGCAAAGTTTTCCTACATTTAACTCGTGAATTTGACAAAACAATACATATTTAGCATGTTCAGAAACGTAATTCCACTTCCTAGCGTAGAAGTGACGATTAAAAGCAACTTCATGAAGCTAAATCTAAGTGAACTCATGGGATAAAATAAAAAGCACTGATAAAAGCTAATTCAGGACCTTCTTTCTTGGATTTCTCGCCACAGGATTCTGAACATCACTGAGTCTCTTGGTGCGAGAATGACCGGTTTTGACGACATGACGGTGATGTCGGCTCCGTTCGTGGGCATGTCCTTGGTGGATGTGGAGCCAGGACCCTTCAGCCCCCTGAGCTTTGGGGTTTTGTCAGACCCAGTGGGACTGAAGCCTGAGGTCCGTGAGTCTCATCAACAGTCTTATAACTTGATAGACCGGTGCAGGTCTTAATGAATTCAAAGAAAGCACACACAATTCAAAATCCAACCCCTTTTAAATATGTATTGTAATATTTTTTACAATGTTTTTAAAATTCCCTACGACTACTACTACTACGTCAGTGAATGTATGTGTACCAGCTCAAAATGACTGACTAATTAAAATAAAAAGACCGATTTAACAATGTTTTACTTATTTTCCTTGATCTTTATAAAATATACTACTACTACTACTACTACTACTACTAAAATACCAGTAATATTACTTCCTTGTTGAACCATAGACTGTATAATAGCCTTAATGTGAAAGAAGCTGTTTTGAACATAAGCCTGCTGGAGCCAATTTCCTTATATGGGCATTGGTACACACAGGGTTAGCTTTGCGCAGTAACAAAACAACACAAACAGGAGCCTCCCATGACGTCACAACGCTTTACTTTTAAAAACAACTCTTTAGAAACAGCGTCTTGATATAAAACTATAAACAATACTATACAAGTTATTCTTGTAAAGCCCTAAATCACAACAGTAGTCATCTCTGAGGACTGAACAAAACCATTGAAATCACCAACAATATTCCCAATAGATTTGATTTCAGCAGGAATGACATGATCATTAGAGATTCCAAGACTTTTTGCTGTATTGCGATGCCTTCTCTGTATTCATACTTTGTTCATGTGTTTGCTTTAGATTTTCATAAACACACATCCTCTCAACGGGACAGTGGCTTTCATCTCGCTGCCCTCCATCCTGCAGCAGAAATTCCCCCTTGAAAATCTAACGAGAATCCAGTTTCAGTTCTTTAGTGTCCCGTGGCTTTTCAAGGTACAACTCATTATAGGATTTTAAACTATTACTTGTGCAGTTTGGAGTTGCCAGAACGGGTTCAAATATGAATTACTGTCTATCCATCTATCTATATAAGTTTTAGATTTAATATATGGCTTTAACAAACAGTACAAAGAATAGGTTAGCGACAAATATTTGCAGTTAGATTGGTTTAGGCGTTTTATATTAAATGGTATGCAGATAAAACTATGAACTAATTCTCCAATCCAGTGTCATTTCATGCTTTGTCTTTGTAAAACTGTCTTTATAGTAATACACATGTTTTGACTCTTTGACTTCATTCTCTATTAACACAATTTGTATGTTATTTTTCAGACCATCATTCCAGACGATTTGGTTCTCAACACATTTGTGGTGTCGGCGAGTGTGACCAACGTCAGCTCACCAATCAGAGACCTGGAAGAGGACATTCAGATCACACTGCACCACCGCAAACCCAACTATGTACGATTCACTGTCACTGCTGCTACTACTACTGCTACCATTACTGCTACTACTACTGCTGCTACTAGTGATACTACTGCTGCTACTGATGTTACTACTGCTACTACTACTATAATTAATTCAGCTGTTGCTGCTACTACGCCAATATGTTTTTCCAACCCGAGTTTGTCTAATTAAAAAAGTGATTAAAAAGAAAATGAATTCATATGTCTGGAAGATGGTTACACAATATACTAATTAATGTGAACTTCCCAGTAACTTCGGAACAGCCTGAAATATGAATGTTAGTCGTTGGTCACTACGGCAAATGTTTTTGGATTTGACCTACATACAGCTCCAGCGTAATGGCGCTTACAAACTAAAATTATTTATCATTCTACAATTCTCTAACTAAAACACATTCTCATTTTAGAAAAACAAGGATGTCATGTGTGTTTACTGGAACTTCAATCTAAATCGTAAGTTCTGACAGTATAATGTTAAGAATTTATGTCCGATAAAAAAAAAAATAAAAAAATGTATTAGTGTATTTTTGTTTTGTTTCAGATGGACAGGGAGGCTGGGACCCTTCAGGCTGCCGTACTTACAACAGCACTCCCCACTCCACCACGTGTCTCTGTGACCACCTCACTCACTTCGGAGTTCTTTTGGTACAAGTCTTCATTATACAATTCATTCAAGAATATGTAGGAGGGATACAGATGTCCTTTTGCCAGCAGAGGGCGCCCTATTCACAAAAATAAACTATGCAGCCGGTGACGTCCCTCCAAGACACACATTTAAAAATCAAATTATAAAACAGACCTAAAAGCCAATTTCCAGCTGGCATAATTTAATTTAAGCAGCTACGTCCAATTACAGATTATATTAAGTATACTCCTGTCTGGCCTTTTCACTTCATTTCGAAAACATTTCAATGTGACGCAATAATGAAGTAATAGGCTGGACATCATATTTTTGATCTATTACACTGATAACTGCCCAGAAGTGAAAATATATTGTCTTTATAGATGAGAACATTAAAAACATTGGTTTCTTTTCAATAAATTCATGACTTGAGCAGAACGTAATTTTCACTCACACTGATTTTATATTTGAATGAATAATGCAGTAAGTGATGTTTCTTTTAAGACATAAGTATATTTACAAGATAAGATAAAACTTTGTTGGTATCAAAATGGAGTAATATATATGTTACTTTTGGCTTCATTCAGGGTGTGAAAATGTGCAAATATGTTAAAAAGTAAAAAAAGACATAAGATGTGTACTCATCCTTCTCCCATTCTAGTTTTCACCTTACATTTACAATTGTCTACCATAGTCTAAGTGATTGTACTGTTTTAATTTCTTTTCAATAAAAAAAACAAAAAAAGTCCCGATTACTGTGTCTTTGTGCAGGACGTGTCCCGGGCCCCACTGGACCCAAAGGTGGAGTACAGACTGACCATCATCTCGTACGTGGGCTGCGGAGTGTCCTCTATGTTTCTGGGCGTCACTGTGCTCACGTACACGGCCTTTGAGTGAGTTTGTGTGTTTTATGCAAATGTGTGCTTTTATTTGTCGTCATTTCTTAACTGAAAACAAATATAAACCGAGAAAAAAGGCAGAAAAAAACATGACATTTGCATTTTTATTAACTGCCACCAGAGAAAAAACAGGATCCATTAAGGCAGTAGATTTGGCACCTCATTCTTCAGTTAGAAAATTATGGGTGTGTTAAAGCTGCGGTACCCAACTTTTTTTCTTTTAACCATGTCCAATTGAACATGTCAAAAGTTAAATGTTTGAATGACAGACTCAACATGCCGTCTTCATATTTTTAACTGACATCTTAACATTGGGGGCCGAATTGCTACATAGGGATGAAAAATAAAAAATATCCACAAAAAAATCACAGCTTTTGGGGCGAGAACCCTGATGTTATCGTTTGCGTAATTTGTAAGCAAAGAGCCCAGTGGGTCACTATTTGACTTTTTGGGTGGAGAGATTGGAGTGACTGGTTTTGTCTGTCACATCTTTGGCTCTGCTTTTTCAGACAGAAAAGTGAAAAAACTCAGTGATGTAGTAAATACTAAAATACCATATACAACATCATATATAACTGCTTAACATGACAGTTACCTTCATTTAAAGTCAGAAGAAAACTTGAGTGGCTCATGTCCTCCTGCAACCGTATTTTACAATGTATGCACCGGCTTTTGACAGCTGCAGTAGTACTCAGCCCTAACAACCAACAGGTTTGTTATCTCCACGATCGCAGTTCAGGTGGTTAGAAAAGTGTATGAAGTGTATATATAAAGTGTGTGGTGAGAGTTTTTACAGCCAAAAAACATAACTCGCAGATTTAGCTTATTTCTCTTTTAAATCACGTCTTAAAACCCACTTTTACTGAATGGCCTTTACCTGCTAGTTTTAACTTCACGTGTTGTATTTTACTGTTTTGTATTTCTTGCTGTGTGCCGCTGTCTGCTTGGTTTTCCCTATCTACTCTTCATGACTTTGACTTTATTATTATGACAGTCTTTACAAAGCGCTGCACAATAAGCCTGAGCAATGAAAACAGCCAATAAGACAGTTTTTGAAAAGTGCTATACAAATAAAGATGTATTATTATTGCGGGTGTCTTTTAGAACGTAACCCCCACGATAAACATGGGACCACAGTAATAACTTTGTCCTCACCTCTTTACCTCCACCAGGAAGCTGCGGCGGGACTACCCCTCTCAGATCCTCATCAACCTCTCTCTGGCTCTGCTGGGGCTGAACCTGGTGTTTCTGGGGAACTCGTGGCTCTCGTCTCAGGGCGTCTACGGCTTGTGCGTCTTTGTGGCCTCCGCGCTGCATTACTTCCTGCTCGCCTCCTTCACCTGGATGGGATTGGAGGCTGTTAACATGTACTTTGCTTTGGTCAAAGTCTTCAATGTATATGTGCCCTCCTACATCCTCAAGTTCTGCGCTCTGGGGTGGGGTAAGTGATGGATTTATGCTAGTTTGTTGGCTCATATAATATTCACTGTCAGATGATATTGCTCTTCAAAGGAACAGTGTAGCTGCAGGTTTTCATTCCAAGCAAGCAGGAGCACACCGGACTACTCCCATTTGCATTAAGTGAGGCTCGGTTAACCTGAAGACTTGATGAAAACAATGGTTTGCTTCTGCTTGGTTGGAATCTGCCTGATTCCCTGTCAACTGACGTATTGTATTTCCCATGACCCACCATTTAAGTAACGGTGTTTTCAAAACTCCCTGGACCTTCCCTTTTCTTTGATTCTCTGAGATTACTGCGCTGATTATCTTGTTTTGTAGTCTTATTTTTGTCAAATTTTCCCCATTTCTATACTTTCAAAATTGGCTGAACCTCATTATGGCTCAATGGACAAATGCATCAAATCAGAATACTCTTCAATAGACCAAAGCTTTCAGATTAAATTAACTAAGTGTGTATTTCAATATGTAATATGCTCATAAGAATTCCCCATACATTGTATATGATGTGTTCACAGGGATCCCGCTGGTCGTGTGTGCGGTGCTGCTAATTGTGGACAGAGACGTCTATGGCAGTCATGTGTACGCAGACACCAGGCTGAGGGTGCAGCCACTGAACAGCACCGACAACTTGTGAGATTTCAATAAGAAACTTGTTCTGAGTGTCTGATATTTCACACAAAAGTAATCAATGTTGTGGTGAAAATACAAAGGCTTTGAATAAACTTGAGGCTAATAATACAAACTGAACTTAGGAAATGCAGGTGGCCATACCTGCAAGTGGGAGCCAGATCACAACAGACCTCTGAAACTAAGCAGGGCAGTGCCTGGTTAGCAGTGATGGGCAAGCTACTTGATTTGTGTAGTAGCTAAGCTACAAGCTACTCTACAATAAATTCAGCTTCACTACACAGAAGCTACCACCCATACAAATGTAGCAAGCTAAGTTACAAAATTCTGTCAAAAGTAGCTTGCTATATAGAAGCTATTTTCAATTAAACAAACTGCAGTTCATGCAATTTTATATTTTCCTGCATTAACATGTTTGCTCATTTCTTATTTTTTGCACAATTCTTGAGTGTTTTATCCATGCCAAATGTGACATGTAAATGTCTCCTGTGTGAGATTAATAAAGCTTATCTTCTTATTTGAGATAAACTGTCAGTCAGATAAAGGTTAAAATGCTGTAGATATTTATTGAACAATAGCCCAAAACACCAAAAACAACAAGAGTAGGCATCTGAAAACATATTTCTTTTCGCTCATCTGGACTAGAGTGACGTACTTTTGGAGGTATGGCCACGGTACAACACTTTGAGAGTATCATGGTCCTCCTCCACCGCGGCGGCTCCTGGGCTCTCTGCCATGCTTTTGCTTCCCCCAGTAGCGCGCGCGCATGTGTGTGTGTGTGTGTGTGCGCGTACGTTCGTGTGTGTGTGTCGTTACCAAGCCCTGCGCATGCGCATCAGCATTCTGTCTTTCTATATGTTTGTTTTATGCTGCGGGAAAATGCTGTAATATATGAACATCAGAGATGTCCGTGAGAAAATAGCTTTGGCGGACGCTACCGCGCTACTTGAGCAATAATATAGCTTAGCTACAGAAAAGTTACTAGGTTTTGTAAATAGTGACGCTACTGTCAAGCTACTGAAAAATGTAGTTAAGCTTGTAGCGACGCTACAAGTAGCATCGCTACTGCCCATCACTGCTGGTTAGTACTGTGATGGAAGACACATCTGGGTATACCAGGTGCCATGAAATGACTAATGGCATATATAACGCTTTATAAAACCAATTAAATATTATTATTTTTATTATGTAGACGGCTGCATACACTTGGCAAATAGAGAACTAATGCTTGTTCCAAATGAAGACACCCTAACATTCTTGTGTCCTTTTTTCCAAAGTTGCTGGATTCAAGACAACGTGACGTTTTACGTGTCTGTGGTTGGATACGCTGCATTGGTGTTCCTTTTCAACACAGCAGTAAGCATTTCTGCACAGCACCCTAAGAGTCAGGACTAAACATGGGGAGGCTGCTTTTCAGATTCATGCTGCTAAAATCTGGAACAGTCTTCCTGAAGATGTGAGACAGGCCTCCTCTCTGACAATGTTTAAAACCAGGTTGAAAACAGTTCTGTTTAGCTGTGCATACAACTGAGGGAATTTATATTTGTATCTTTCTGTACTGTGATTATTAATGATTTTTATGCTTTGTTCAGCACTTTGAATTGCCTTGTGTATGAATTGAATACATGAATACAAACAAACTTGCCTTGCCTTACCCTACACAAAAACTGTTGGGTAAACATGAAAAGGATAAAATCGACCGGATGGCTTGGATTGGCATTCCTGCTCCTGTTAGTCTACCCCAGAGCAGCTGTGGCTACAGTAGTAACTTACCACTGCTGTGAATGAATTATGCCACGTGTGCGTCTGAGAGTCCAAAAAAGCGCTATTTAAATCGATACATTGTCTATATTGTCGTCTGTGACTTTTTAAAAGACTAATCAGATACTATTATAGAATCCACAGTATTGCACAAGTAGCAGTTGATAATCTGCTAACCAAATGTTTTGGTAGCTCCATATTTATCATGCTCTACAGAACAATATATGCAAAGATACAGACAGCTCACCAACATTATTATGCTGTTTTTTTTTAGATATTTATCGTGGTCCTGATCCAGATACGGCGGATGCGCGACAACAGTCCGGCCGGGATCCGCAGTGGTCTGTTGAAGGACCTGAAGGGAGTGGTCAGTCTCACGCTGCTGCTAGGACTCACCTGGGCCCTGGGCTTCTTCACCTGGGGTCCGGCCCGAGTCGGGATGCTGTTCCTGTTCTCTGCCCTCAACTCTCTGCAAGGTGCGAATATTATCTGCAAAAACAACACCCCGAACAATAGAAGAACATTATGAGAAAACAGAAATCTGAGGCCTTTTGATCAATTTGCCTTAGAAATGTCCATTGTCCATAAAGGTGATGAATAATAAGTAAAATTTGATTTGAGCACATTTTGACTGACAAGAAAACTCTCTTGGAATGAGAAAACTAAGAAAAAGTTCTTGAAATAAGACTAAATGGCGTTGTCCTATTGGCAAAGCTAGTTTTAAGACTGTCAGAATGTACTCAAATTAAGATAAAAACCACTTGATTAACGAAATTATTATTACTATTATTATAATATTTTACAATGTAGTCACTTTATAACACAAAAAACGTTCATTCACAACATTTCAAGGGATTTACTTAAGCCCATTATCTACCAGGGCCGTTTTTTCATATTTGAGACAAAGCTAGAGTAAAACCACCGAAGACAAAATTAAAATCAGAAAAAAAAAACATTAATTTATTTGCTTGTAAATATCATTTTGACACACCCCTCGCCATTTCAAGCCTTTTTCTAACATATGGCATTCGCAGGAGCCAGGTAACAATTATCCAATGACTTAATTAGACACTGATTATCACAATTATGACAAACTGAGATTATGGCCAAAAATCTATTTGTGAACAATCGCGGCTGCTAGAAAGGGCTATTTCTGCCACAATGAGAAATAAATGAGCTCATCTTGAATTTAATTTGATGTGAAGCTCAAGCACAAACAAGAGGAGCTTAACATTTTACATGAAAGGCTCATGAACTCGCACGTTAACAAAAAGACTAACAGACTGCAGGCGTTAGAAGTGCATATGATGTTAAATCTCAGAGATCAAACTCAGTTCACCGTGTTTTTTCTATTGTGGGAGGTGGAACACATCCAATTTCCCAGTTGCCTGGAAAGCCCAGCAAATATAGCAACCATAAGCAAATGCATAAATACATAAGATAAACCTTGGCAGGATGGAATCCAGGCTGTTGCAAAGGAACTTCTTGGACTGAAATGTCGGCACTTTACTAAAGGGGTAATTAAAGCTTCTCCTCATTGTATTGTTTTTAATATCACAGCATAATATTACCTTTGATCCTAATTCAAAACCATGTTCAAAACTGAAGTACTGAAAAATTACGTAGAGCTTCAGCACAGAGTGTCGCTAGAATCCCTGTCCCACTACCCAGAGTGTTTGAGCCTGTGTCTTGTTTGAATGTGTGTGTGTTATAAGACATTATATACATGTATAATATAGCAAATAGTTTCATAATCCAACCCCCTGGAGAGAGAGGAGAGGAGAGGAGAGAAGAGGAGACAGAAGAGGAGAGGGGAGAGGAGAGAGGGAAGAGAGGAGAGAGAGGAGGAGAGGAGAGGAGAGAAGAGGAAAGGGGAGGAGGAGAAGAGAAGAGAGAAGAGATGAGAAGAGAGAGAAGAGGAGTCAGAAGAGAGGAGAGGAGAGGGGAGGAGGAGAAGAGGAGAAGAGAGAAGAGGAGAGGAGAAAATAGGAAAGAAAGGAGGAAGCAGTGAGGAGAGAGGAGAGAAGAGGAGAGAGGAGATGAGAGAGAGCAGAGAGGAGAAAGCAGAGAAGACAGGAGAGGAGAGGAAAGGATAGTAGAGAGAGTAGAGAAGAGAGGGGAGAGAGGACCAGAAGGCCCAGTCCCAATACTCTCACTTCCACCCTTGCGCCCCCATTTGCGCGTTCCCGATGATGGGTGCGAGTGCATAGGGTGTCCCAATCCTCCAGGGAAGTCTTTGGCCCCACCCCCTTTGCGCCCCTGTTCCACACTTCGCCGTAGTCTTCATCTATGCGGACTCTGACAAAGGATATTGCCCATAATTCTTTGTGGTACACACCAAAACGTCAGGAAAATGCATTTAAATGTAAGTTTTGAAATATGTATGCTGTATGTGTGTAAATAAGTTTTGCTATGTTACTTGGAAAGAAGCACAAATGTCTGATGAAGAATTACGGACATTGTATATAACAATTTAATATCTTTTTAAAGCAAGCGTTCATATAACATTCAATTTAAACTTTACACTTAGTACAATAATCTTAGGATGTATAAAAACTGACCAGATAACAGTTAGTTACCCACATTAAACTTAAATTATACAGCTATCTCAAATTACAAATAACCAATATACATGTATTTTAACGTGTGTGGAGCAACTCATTTTGTTTCCCACCGGTTCAGACAAAATGACCTTTAATTTTTATAAAGTTTTGGTCTAAAAATGACCAGTCGATGACATAAACTGCACTCAGTGTGCACTGTCCTTGCCGCCTTTTTTGCACGCTTGTAACCTGCGCACTCCAACCCTTGCGTGCACTTCAAACAAATGCACACTTCGTAGAGGAGTGTAGGGTGCAGTGTGGGTATTGGGATTGGGACAAAATCTGAGGAGGAGAGGAGAGGAGAGATCTGTGCAGTTCTTTAATTACAATTAAAGAAGTGCACAGATCATACTTGTGGACCGTGTGTGAGAAAGATCCACAGTGAACATATACATTTTATAGACTGCCAGTTTCCTCGCAACATTTCCTGAACATCCCTCTCCTCGTACAGACACAGCTCACTTGAAAATCAAACAAGTCTGATGAAATAGTTTCGTAACCTCCTTTTCCAGAGCTGCTCTTTGTTGCACTCTTTATCTGAAGTGATGCAACTCCAATCGTGGCCTTTTAAAACCCTCAGACAAAGCCTCTGCTCAAGTGCAAGTGCGCGCTCCCATGTCTGTCCTAATGCAGCCCGAGTCTTTTGTCATTTTAGGACTTTTCATCTTTGTCTTTCACTGCCTGATGAAGGAAAACGTCAGGAAACAGTGGAGGATACATCTTTGCTTTGGCCGTTGCAGACAAGAGGACAATTTGGGTAAGGCAATGCTAGCAATTCATATTACATGTAACCGAGTTGGTAGAGAAAGCGATATGGGTGAGTATTAGCATAACATGAATAATCAACTATTCCCAAGGTTTTTTTTTTTATATTTCAAATGCACTAGGTATATAATAATAGTGAGCCATGTGTGTCAATAATAGGCCTATTCCCACTGCATTTTCTCAAGCATTGACATGGCGTGTCGACCCAGGACAACAGTAGGAAAGTTTGCCAAGTTGTTTAGACCCCTGTTATCTTTTCACAACAAGGGGCAATATAAACATTGTCCAACATATTTTTTCACAAGGACCACTCAGTAATGGAAAGAGCAACAAATGGAACAGCCCAAACATTTATGGTAAGAGCTTCAATCTTGTTACTGTCATTTATGCAAAGTATCCTTGCGCTTAGTTTTATGACCTTCACCTAATCCACCTGTAAGGAACGGGCTTTAAAACCTGTCTAAATAACCGCTAACAGCTGCAGTCTCTGGGAATAAACAATACTTCCATTTAACTATTTATCACTGAGAAGACACAGCACTGTTTTTTTTTTACATACTAATACTTTGGTTTTTTGGACTTGGATCAAACCCGAATGGAATAGATATCTTGTTTTACCTGTGATGGAAAAAGACAATATTTTCAGCTGAAGGCAAGATCTACACATGACACATTATTATCTTCATAGTATATGTTCATAAACACAGGGGAAAGGGCTATTTTGTGGCTTTAATTCAGTTGTGGTGTGACCAGTACTGACCTCTGCTGGTGTTGCACTATGTCAGGACGCCATGTTATATCATAAAACATAAAAAACATAATTTTGCTTAACCAATTTTTGAGCAGTATGGCTGCAGCTAACCGTTAAAAGAAATGTAAAAAAGCATCTCTAATTCCCATTTACCTTGGTCTTCCCTCAGACTGGAGCGCCTCTGCCGATTATGGCCACATGCCCAAACTGAAGCCAGCAGCGTCTCAGGCCCGCCTCCCCTCCGTTCGCTCCATTAAGTCCAGCTCCACCGAGAGCACATCGGCCTCCTCCGACTCCAGCCAACGAGAGTCTGTCAGCAGCTGCAAGAGACCAGACCTGGGTGAGAAATCTATACCATTTCATCATTCGATCAATCGAGTTGTTTGAGCTAAAAATGTGAATGAATACCTTTATTACGTCACCTTAATTTAGAGAATACTCTCTCAATAATTAAGATTTGCCTCGAAACATGTATATAACAACTTGTTGAGGAGATAATGCTACAGTGCTTCAAATAAGACAAATAAAAGTAGTAGAAGTTCTGCTGGCAATTCTTTTAAGACAGCCAGCTGAAAACACTCAAGGAAGACAGACCTCCACCAACCATCTCAGGCTGAATAAATAATAATAGGCTATTTGATTAATGTTGATAAATTCTGCGTAAGATGATGGCTTTTACTGCTCCGGGAAATGGACCCTTGTATGATTGAAAACCAGGAAAATCATGAGGAATTAAAATCATATTCTAGGCCACGGAACATTTTTGAGATAGCCTTGGAAATGGTATGATTTTATATTTATAGGGACAGTGTTCATAGACAGAGCTGTTGCATTTTAATACTTTTGTTAGCTATTTTTTAGAATTATTTATTTGTTTTGTTTGTATGAATGCATGTGTGTCTGCTGCTACTGGACACCTGCATTTCTCCTACGGGGAATCAATCAAGTATCTAACAATCTATCTGTACAATAAACATTAGCCAAAATGCATTGTACCAGGTCGAAGCAGGTCGTCTAATTTACATCTGTAGTCCATGAGTAGGTTGTTATGAAACAGTAAAACAAAATATTGTACAGATATATGTCTGGATAATAAAATAAATTGGGGACTGCAGGAGAAGTTAGCATTTTTAATGATTGATTAATAAGACAACTTAAAAAATGGGGTTCCTTACACTGAAATTGTTACATGCAACAAAAAAAGCTACATTTGAATCTAAATGGTCAACAATTAAACTTTGCATTATTCTGTTTTCATAAATGATTGTAGAAAGTCCCATACGGCTGAAGTGTTTTTGATACGTAGGTGTAAATATGTGATTTAATCATATACTGTAAATAAACCAATACAAGTCTGTTCAACATAACAAAATAAGAGAAAATAAAAATCTATCAGTTCATACTGGGTTGGTATTGTTGGTTTCACGTCCTCAACTACTCCAGACACTATGAAGGTCATTGCTTGTATTACTGTGGCTACTCACACCATATTAAATAAATGGAATTATAAATGGGTTAAGCTCATCTAAAAAGGGAAGATATACGTTATGCCTCTTGTGTCGTGTGGCACCATAGTCAGAGTAATGACTTATGCTTTTACCTTTAGGCTTCTTTGTGAACGGCCTGGTCATTCCTCGAGCGCAGTGCACCAGCTCTGGTCCAGCCCAGAGGCTCCATGGCTCCCTGAATCCCACGCCTGGATGGACTAATCACTAGCTCAGACAAGAAAACACTTAAATATGCACACTTCATCCAGACAAATGTGCTGTACATGGGAATACAATCTCTGGTCTAATGCAATAAACAAACTTCAATTTGGATTAGCTAAAGTAAACCATTTATTTTGGCTTCATGTAATGTAATCTTGTGTAATTGTATTTGGTGATTTTTGTGTGCCTAATATCGTAAAAGAGCCTGTAATTATGAAGACATGAGTCGTTGCATCAGTTCCAAGGAGGAGTTGGTTGCCAAGCAACTGGTGAGTGGAGCCATGGTGACAATGAACCATGGCACCGCACAGTTTGTGCAAAAAAATAATACATTTTTGGAAATTAAGATGATGCAAGCCTCCTGGTGCTTCTCGCCCTTCAATTCTGCAAAAAGCCACTTCAGGTTACACCCAATAAATATTTCACCCGGCGGCTCTGAAATTACTTTGTGAATTTATGAAACGGCCATTTTGAAACGGGATAAATTTATCTCCTCTTTGGAAACACTTTGCAATAAATGAGATCTGGCATATTACACTGCGGTTTCAACAATGGCTTTATATTACATTATATATAAAGTTAATCCTTTTGTATAGGATGAAAATGTAGCAGGCAATTTAAACATGAAATTATGTGTCTTAGTGGCATAGATCTTCCTTTGAAAGAAGAGATTTCTTACTCTGGTTTTAATAACATGGCAGCCTTATTCCTACAGCGTCTTATGCCTGGAAGAGGTTTCTAGTCTAGAGCTGAGAGGAAAGAGAGGAGGAAAGCACTTGTACACCTGAACACAAAACCAGGGCTCAGCCATCTGGAGCATGCTCTGCCAGGTGAGCAATCAAGACATCCTATTTCAAGGAGCAATCAAGACTATTTCACTAATTGAAAAATAATTCTAATGATATGGTTTTACGACACTCTGATGCATCCACGTTGCCAAGTTAAACAGACCTTTTGTTCCAAGAAGGCAGCAAAAGCACAACTGCTTGTTGGTTCTTTCACAGGTGCAATTTACATTTGCATCAGTGCAGCATACTGTCAAATTTGCTCAAGGCAGAGTCCACATCCTGGCCCCTCTCAAAGGAAATAATGCAACCTGAATTTTAGCTTACAAGGAAAGAAGCTCAAAACTTTCCCGTACAGGCACTTTCAGCATTTATAGTAGAAGTAGCTGTCAGTAAAATAATATATATTGCAACATCTAATCTTTTTATAATCTGGAAAAGCAGCAGTAGTAAACAAGAGGCAGTAGCTGTGTGGGGTTATACATAAATGATTTTTTTTAGCTTGTTGAAGCCTTTAGGAAAGTGCTCATGGACCAAGTTGTTTTCTACCCTCTTTGGCTCCTATTTCCTTTCCTTGAAAAGTAACAGTGCTTAATCTGTAACCACTTGGGGTCAAGCTCACCATGCTTTAAATGAAATACACTAATTGTGCTTGTATGATGCAGCTCTTTTCCTTTGTTTTGTAAAATACTTTTGAGTTTTCTTGTATATGTAATATGCTCTACAAATAAACTTGCCTTGTATGATATAACCTATAATAACTATAATAACTTATCAGTAGGCCTACCATGATAACCATCGTTTACAGGCGATAAATTGCTCATGTAAATTATTGCAATAAACGATAGTATTGAAACTACTGATGCAAGTTCCATAAATCAAGATCCCATTAAACAATTTCTCTATCAATTTAATTAAAGGGGAAATAACCAGATTCTATAATATGTGACCCCCTGGCTGTAACTTATATGAAATGTTTATATTGAATGATGTTATGAAAGAACGAGTAGCTCCTCCTTAAATCCTCTTAGCCCCGCCCCTCTGGCGAAGCATCAGAAGTACGTGTTACTATCAAATGCTCCGCTTCTCCGCAGATAAAGTTGTGACGCAATTATACATTTTTTCCTTCCAGTAAAAATGGCCATGTGATACGAGTGAATCCTCCACACATCACTGATTGAGAAAATAAAAGGTGTCGGTCGCCAGAGGACTGAGGGGAGAGCAATGGCGGCGCACGTCTATGAGGATACACAAAACTAAAACATGCGTGAATCAGGCTAGAAACAGCCTTGAGTGTGTAAACGACAAAGGGAAACGTCTATAACATGGCAAAAAGCTGAGAAAGGTACATTTTTAGATCATGTCCCATAAAAATTGAGCAAATCATGTCCACGATTGCAAAGAAAATCTACAGATAATATTCATTGAGGCCAGAACTATATTGTATCCATCAGTTATTGAACGAGTTATTGTGACAGTAGCTTTTTGTAATGTCCTCCCAATACCATCCCTAGAGTAGAATTAGTACTAGTAAATATCGTCAAAAGCACATTCAGAGCGTTTCTTAGATCTTTGGGGACTATTCTGTCTTTTAGCTACCAGCAAGTTCATTTTTCTGAATTTACTTTGACAGTGCAGATGTGTTCCACCCACATCTCATTCAGAGACTACTTCACTGCAATGCTAAACAGAGGGCCTTTATTTATTTTTTTCTAACTCCCACTCAAAACCAAAACAAGACTGACATTTTTTGGTGCATAAAACTAAATCCAAATTACTGCCATCAGGAAACAACTCTTAAAAAGAACCAATATTATGCAAATTCCTCTTTCTGATAACCATTTACAACATTGTTCCCTCATCGGCACATAACTCAAGTTTTTTTTTTCTTTTTTTAGCTCCAAGAGGTTGTCACAAACACAGCCCCCCACCCCTTCTGTCCAAATACTCCTTTTTCAAACTCTTTGTACCTGATATTTAATGTTTTCTTACATCAGCATGTGCAAGGAATTTCCTTTTGTGGTAGAAGTGGCAAAGTACAATCTGCTATAATTGAATGCAAATGTAAACATGGAAAAGTATTTAATTTTATTGAAATTTCCAAAACTAATAGGAAATACTTGGTTGATTCTGGGAATTTGAGATTCTATGAACGCAATATATATTTCAGAACTAGAACAAAAACTTGTAATATAACTTTTTTTCTCATTAATGTTCAAATTTGCAGCTCACTGTCCAAAAACAAAAAAAACAGCCATTTTTAAATGGTCATGGAATTGAGTGAAATAAGTTTGTACTTTCAGTATTGGGACAACACAACTGTGAATGGAGCTAAAGAAAATGCCAGGTCTGTTTGGGACGAGATAACACTCATAACATTCTTTTAAGACAAATGTTTTAAACCTTCTATTTTCACTAACGGCTAAACAAGTCCACTAGCTTTTTGGACAACCAGAGACCGGATTGGTTCTTCACAAACTGTTCAGTAACGAGTTCTTTGGCGGCTTGAAACTCCTTCGCGTCCACCTTCGAAAATGTGTAGAAAAACTCAATTTTCAATCATTTTTTTGCCTTTAGTAAAAAAAAAAAAAACGTCTGGAGACATACCTTGGAGCTGTGGTACGTGGGCAGGTCCAGCAGATGACTATGGCCGCCGAGTTTTGCGACTTGGCTGAAGTATTTGTAGAAGGCTCTCTTACAAAGTCTGCTGGAGAAGCCAGGCCCACTCACAGATGGGGAGCTAGGCACGAGTAAAATAATAGTTTCAGATGACATACTACACCAGCTCCAATTTCTAAACATTGCACTACTATACTTTGAGACATAATTTAAGCCTAAATCACTACCTAAATGTTAAGAATAGTAAGTTAGCAATTAATTACATAGATAAATAATTCAACAGAAATGTGATTGTTTGTGCCATTCAAAAATGAAAAGATGCAGATTTTTCTTGATGAAATAAATCTGTAGGTATCAAAACAAACTATAAAAATGGCAGTATAGATGTAACTACAGGTGAATCTTGGGGAAATTTGACTGTTCAAAAGGTAATTTCATTTGTTAAAATAAGAACCAAACCATGATATAGACTGCATTTCATAGATTAAAATGCAAAGTGACATTTGCGAAGCCTTGTTGGTGTTAGTGTTGATGATTATAGCTTATAGTAAAATTTTATAATTTGAGATTATTATTTTTATTTAATTCAATTTGTTTGCCCTGATGAAGACCTAAGTGGTCTTGGTGTCCAGAGAAAATAAAGGATTTTTACTCTCAAGTCAGATGTGCCGTGGACCTTATTTTTCCCTTAAAAATTGAGCTTTTTGCATTTTGGATCCTGAAGCCCACCTGACTCCCAACCCACAGCAGCGCTCACTCTCCCTCTCCAGTCAATTTGTCTACAGGCATACTTTTAAGAAAGTCGCAATTTAACCGTTTGGGCAGATGAATGGCTAAGTGAGGGTAGTTCTCTCTCGTTTAGTTTTCTGTCAGAAAAAGCTGAAAGATGTGACAGAAGCCAAACATAGATGCATATGAAAAAACTACTGATAGAACCAAACCGTGTTGAGAGAAAGAGGGGAATGAATTGGTCTCATTACAAAGTTCTGGATTATACAGTTTATGTCCTGGATCATACTTTATTTGACTTTATTTCAGCAAAAAAAAAAAAAAGATTTGACTGAAAACTTTCTCATGGAAATTTATCACATGTTGTAAATCACAGTCATATGCAGGACCAAGTTATATTTTTAATTACAATATATTATTGTATAATGAATTACAGATCGAATGAATTCTTCAGATATACATTTAAACTGGTGTATTTTGATTGAAATTACAACAAGTGGATCAAGCAACTTGTCAACTTTTTGACAGAATATTAGTGAGAGTAGTTGCATCCGCAACATTGACTTTACTTGAGGCAAGATGGAGCGTCAACACTTTGGCTCTTTCCTCGACAAAATATCGCAAAAGGACATTCAAAATTCTGTCCACATTTTTGTTTGTGAAAAAGGTTTCCCTTTCAACTTGGTGGCTAGTTCTTCTTTATATCATTGTGCCATGCCCTGTGTGCAAGTATGACGCATGTGAATTTGAAATGGTCAACCTTGACAGTGCACTTCGATCAACCGCAATGATTTAATTAAATCTACCAGCTGTAGTGATATTCTGAACGACTCAAGCCCCGGTGATCCAAGATGACGCCCTATTCAAATGAATGGCTTGTGCTCAGTAGCGCCTGGGACTTCGAGGGTGCTGACATATCAGAGGAACTCTGCTATATTTGGGCATCGTCTGGTCCTCCCGGTTGTGCGCAGTGGATCATCTCCCATGAAGCGTTGCGCCAAATACGCGTGTGTGGCTCTCATGCATGTGCACAGAGGGGCTCGGCCGCGCTCTGACCAATCAGCGCTGCTGATCAGCCTTAGAGTGGAGTCAGTGCGGGAAGGAAACGAGCAGTTTGTGGCAGTAAAGCGTGGATTTAAAGAAAACCGAAGGATTTAAGAAAAACATTTCAGGATGACAAGGGACACTAAAATCCCCACAAAATCTGACCTTTATGAAAGCTTTAGGTTCTCTGTCAGCTGAAGTCGAGCTGTTTTAGTTTACATTGAGATCTATGGGACTTTTTTCTGGGTAGCCCACGTGACAGCCAGGGCCGGAGTGGGACAACATTTCAGGCCGGGAGCTTTTCATCCATTCAGGCCAAACAAGGTTCTAAATTTGGGTTTTTGTCATTGTATTTTGATGTTCTTTTAATAGTTTTAAGATTGACTGTCAAAACTTTTGTTTTCTTTATTTTTTTTTTATATTGACTGTTTGTATAATCTCGGACGTTTAAGGATTGTTGTACGTTGCTTAGCAACGTAACGTTTATGGAGTTTAGTGAGAATAAAGACACACACACACACACAATGAACTAAGTGTTCATTAGTGTATAACTATAACAAGCTAATCAATTATTGTTAAAAAAGTAGTAAGGTAAAATCACATCGTTACAGCTCATATAAAAGGAAAAATAAAAACGTGTATGAACCATCAGTTGGAGAGACCACTCATTTCAACCGGGGAAGCTACACTGGGTGCACTGCTAGGCTGGCCTGGCTGTGTAGCCGACGTGTGACGTCACATTTGTTTAATTTTGCTCTGGCCCAATGACAGTAAAGCTTTGGCCAGTGATGTGCCAGTTCACAGCTTTTCTGAACTAGTTCAAGTTCAGTTCATACATGCTCAAAGTGAACAGTTCACGTTCGAAGTTCTCAATTTTAATTCTGAACTAGTTCAAAGTTCAGTTAATTTTACTTTTTGCGAGATATTCAAATAAATATTTTTTTTCACTACAAGCTAGAAATCACAATAAGTGGTGTATATATATATATATATATATAATTATATATTATATCCTGTACACTGCACAGGATGTTTTGACTCCAATGCAGAGAAGATTTACATGGGTTTCAATGGGAACTGAGTTGTCCCATCTCTGCTCATAAGTACAAACTGTAATGCGCTACAGAACGTGTGTCTATACTTTATGTCAAATGTAAACGGCCCTGTGTCACTGACTTACCCCTGTGTTTTCATCACGGCACATGTGAGTCCAACAACCAATGAATAGCACTAGCATATAGCGCCGCACCGCAAGTACACTGAGTCGGGGTGCGTTCACAGACGGTGGAAACCGTAGGAATTTTTAGTTTTCGGCGGAAACAGTGCGGAGAATACAGGAGGGAGGAACTTTCTCTCGTTGCGTTTCAAAAGAGAAAACAGATTTCACTCAGTTTTAAATGGAAAACAAATTGTCTGCCGTTCATGACACATAATATGAACTAATTCACGTTCAAGTTCTTTATTAAAAAATGTGTTGCGTTCAGTTCAACGTTCACAAAAAAATGAGCGTGTTCAATGAACGCGTTCTTTTGAACTCGTTCACGCACAACACTGGCTTTGGCCTGGGCCTTGCTCATTGGACCAGGCCACCAGGCAGGGTAAGGGTAGGAGTTTGCAAAGACCGTGAGGATGAAATTAAATAAAAAATAAAATAAAAAAAAGACCGTGATGATAGGGCAGGCCCAGGCCACTTTGGAGATCTCCCGATGCTCCCGATGGCCAGTCCGGGCCAGGTGACAGCTGTAAGCTAATAATACCCTATCCAGTTAATATAGATCCATGGGTCCGCTATAGCAAGCCTTGTCTCAGTTGTCGCTGTAGCACCAGGTAAAGATGAAGTGTGGGAAAGTGCACAAACAGCTTTCTCGTGCGCCATTTCTATAGGATGAATCAAAACTTTTTTGAGCAAAGTATGCACATACAAGCACCGGCCACCTTCATCTTTTTGCACCATGACCGGAACGGAATCCCATCATCTCCCACTTTGCTCCCACCTCATCTAGCCATGCCCACCTCCATTTATTTTTCACTCCATTATCAATTGCAACTTGTGATTCTAATTCCATAAACAACGAATCCATGATTGTGATTGTGCGTGCATGCTAGGCTAGCGTTGATAAATGAATATATGACACGCTAACACACAACACCACACCTTTCTTCAGCAAGTTTCTTCTGTTTGCTCTCGTTGATTGGCTTTTTTAAATCACACTGAGTTTTGCATGCGATCGCAACCAAGACATGTTTGCCCCCATTCCCAGTCCCAGCAAAGACCGTATTGTACATACCATTGGATAAAATAGCATTGCGTTTGGTTAACACTAATTAATTATGTCCAACCTTTCGTCTGATAACGCGCCTAGTTTGTACCGCGGGGCTGCTGGCTGTTATTGCTCCGTTCAAAATTAAATTTTCCTTCTCCTCTTTTCCTTTTCAAAAGCTCCGTGTAGTTGCCAGAAACTTTCATGTCCGTTTTGCCATTACTAATTTGACAGCGTCTTCGTTTGCGTGTGAGGTTAGCGCATGGATCTATAATGGGTCAGCGTCCCAGTGCCTTTCATTTGCGGAGCGCTCAAGTAGCTATGGCCACAGCACATTCAAGTCTCGTGATTACTTTTTATTTATATATACACATACAATTATATTCATATTCATATTATATATATATATTACAGTTACACACGTATATGTATTAATGTATATTTTTTATAATTAACCATTTCATTGTGTGTATTATTATTTAATAGTTTTTTTTTCAGACCAATTTCATTTGACGGAAATCCGTCACCCCGACGGAACTCTTTAAGCCCTGCTTTATTTGGATGGGACAGTGCGTATTAATGATGAATGATTAATACATTGGTGATGATCCAGGACACTAAACATTTATGGACTGCCCTTTATGGACCAATACCAATGTGTTTTTATCATTGCATTTCTTGTGTTTGAACTGTTTGATTCTCTGATCTGTGTTGGCGAATTCAAGACCTTTGAGAAACTACTGTTGGGATTTGGGGCTGTACAACAATACATTGAATTGAATAGTCCGATTTGAAAGTCATGTACCCCAGCTTTAATTTTCATTTTCACAATTCCCTTATGTACAGTGCCTTACGAAAGTATCCGGCCCCCTTGAACCTTTCGCCACATTTCAGGCTCCAAACATAAAGATATAAAATTTAATTTTTTTGTCATGAATCAACAACAAGTGGGACACAATCGTGAAGTGCAACAAAATTTATTGGATAATTTAAACTTTTTTAACAAATAAAAAACTGAAAAGTGGGGCGTGCAATATTATTCGGCCCCTTTACTTTCAGTGCAGCAAACTCACTCCAGAAGTTCAGTGAGGATCTTTGAATGATCCAATGTTGTCCTAAATGACTGATGATGATAAATAGAATGCACCTGTGTGTAATCAAGTCTCTGTATAAATGCACCTGCTCTTTGATAGTCTCAAGGTTCTGTTTAAAGCGCAGAGAGAACCATGAAGACAAAGGAACACACCAGGCAGGTCCGAGATACTGTTGTGGAGAAGTTTAAAGCCAGATTTGGATACAAAAAGATTTCCCAAGCTTTAAACATCCCAAGCCATTTCTCAAAAATATCCATAAAAAGTCTTGTTTAAAGTTTGCCACAAGCCACCTGGGAGACACACCAAACATGTGGAAGAAGGTGCTCTGGTAGATGAAACCAAAATCAAACTTTTTGGCCACAATGCAAAACAATATGTTTGTCGTAAAAGCAACACAGCTCATCACCCTGAACACACCATCCCCACTGTCAAATAGGGGTGGGAACCTAAGGGTACCTCATGATACAATACACGATACATAGCTCACGATAACGATATCACGATAACAATATCACGATAACGATATCACGATAACGATATCACGATAACGATATCACGATAACGATATGACGATTATCGATATACTGGTCAGAAATATACAATATGCCAATTTATGGCATAAATATAAGAAAAAATACACTTTATTTCATGATAAATGGAATGGAGATGTGTAATGTAGCCATATATTAAGTATTGATACCAATTTCAAAAAATAATTTGTAAAAAAAAAAATATATAGAAAAACATCGATATAGATACTTGGCAAATGCATATCGATCGAATCGCGGGAGAAAGTAATGCAATATATCGAAAAATCAATATATCGTCACACCCCTACTGTCAAACATGGTGGTGGCAGCATCATGGTTTGGGCCTGCTTTTCTTCAGCAGGGACAGGGAAGATGGCTAAAATTGATGGGAAGATGGATGGAGCCAAATACAGGACCATTCTGGAAGAAAACCTGTTGGAGTCTGCAAAAGACCTGAGACTGGGACGGAGATTTATCTTCCAACAGGACAATGACCCAAAACATAAAGCCAAATCTACAATGGAATGGTTCACAAATAGACGTATCCAGGTGTTAGAATGGCCAAGTCAAAGTCCAGACCTGAATCCAATCGAGAATCTGTGGAAAGAGCTGAAGACTGCTGTTCACAAACGCTCTCCATCCAACCTCACTGAGCTCGAGCTGTTTTGCAAGGAAGAATGGGCAAGAATTCCAGTCTCTCAATGTGAAAAACTGATAGAGACATACCCCAAGCGACTTGCAGCTGTAATTGCAGCAAAAGGTGGCGCTACAAAGTATTAGCGCAAGGGGGTCGAATAATATTGCACGCCCCACTTTTCAGTTTATTTGTTAAAAAAGTTTAAATTATCCAATAAATTTTTGTTCCACTTCACGATTGTGTCCAACTTGTTGTTGATTCTTGACAAAAAATGTAATTTTTATATCTTTATGTTTGAAGCCTGAAATGTGGCGAAATGTTGAAAGGAGGGGCCGAATACTTTCGCAAGGCACTGTATGTATTTTGTTAAGTCATCGTCTCTCTCCCTGTGGCTTTGGGTCCGCATTGGGGCGTTCTATAAATACTTTTTGATGCCTACTAAACCCACAATACTTTATTTTTGTAGTGGGCTGTTGTGTATACACTCCCCCCCCCCACAGCGGTGAGAGAACAGTGGAGAGAAAGAGGAGAGACACAGAGGCAAGCATGTCTATTTTTGGGCTGTAATCTGGGCTCAAGGACACGATAGCCTCGAGCAGGAGGAGCATCTGTGCTGGACAAGAGCAGAGACGCCGCAGCCGCCTCAGGACACTGCATCTGCCCCCGTCTCAGTGCTCTGTAAGTGGGACAGGAGTGAAGCCGGGTGAACCACAGGAGATGCCCAGAAACGTACAAGAGACATGCGCAACAGACCCATACAGTGACCATCCACTTTCAGAAACGCAAAGAAGCAATTTGATCAAATGTATTTTTGTATAGCCCTAATTTACAACAGCTAACATCTTGGAGGACTATGTTTAGGACCCCCTCAATAATGAGTTGATTCATCTCAAGGGGTTTTCCTTAATAAACTTAAACTTTACAGGGTCAGCAGATCAGAGTATCAAACAGTTGTTATTGAAATGTATTTTTAATCTACTTTGTGAATAACTTTGGTAATTGATAGGAAGAATGCATTGAAATAGTTTAGGTTCAGAATACGATCACTATTTATGTACAATACATATAGTCTACGTAGGCTCTTCCCATCTTTTAAGTCTGTGCCGGAAATTCCTGATGGAGATAGAAAAAAATATTTTTCATTTAAAAACACAAATATCATCTGTTACTATGGTCTCCTGACATGCCATTACATCAACAAAAATTGCACTTTACATGAAAATGTAAAATCCTAATGATGCAAAAGAAAAGGGAAGCTACAGTGGTTGCAAGTTCTACAGGACACATGCATCAGTTTTCTCCATTGTTAAGGGCTGTACCAGGCCTATCATGCAAGCCTATTAATACTTAAACTGTCGATAACAACTTAATCCACAATGCTAACAGAAAAACAATGGATGTTCTTGTAGACTACAAAGATGAAGCGAGTTGACGATTCCAACAGATGAGTTTGAATTTTACCCTTGAACATGTTCTTACAGATATTACCTCTGAAATGTGATATTTTAAAATGCAAAACTTGAATAAAATAGAATATGGACAATAATGTAGTCTCACCGTCCAATGATGAGGCCTTTGCTGCTGTCTAGGACCTCGATATCTCGGTCTCCCAGGCACCAGTTGAGGCTGATGGGGTCGTTGATGCAGCTCAGACCTGCAGCCACTTGTTCACCGCAGACAACGTGGACGTTGTGTTTCCTGAACGGCGAAGGGAGTCGCTCTTCCCAGCCGTCGCTCAGGCGCTTGTTACAGATGTCAGACACCTCCTCGTTGGACAGTTTCAGACCACCTGGAGAAGAATGATCATTTTCAGACTTTTCTTTCTTATTTAACTACATTATTATTTAACTAGCTTAATTATCTACTACTTATTTAACGTCCAAAGACAAATTCATACATCAGAAGTTGTAAAAAAAAAAAAAAAAAAAAATCGTGCATCTCAGGCTGTACTGTACAAACATATACAAAGCTTATTGCGGCTTGGGTTTCATACAGAAGAGCTATACAACAATTATATGACAACTCGGATACAAAATTGAATAAATATAAAATACAATACAAATTAATTCTGCTATTTTCTTGAGATAAACCATTATTTCAATGACTTTATGTAAGGCCTGCAGATTATAGCATTAGAACAGTTTTTGTCAACTGGAGTCAGCATCTTAAATATTGTGTTTGTATAATGAATCAAACATCAGTATAACTACAAATTTGCACAGTCAAATTAAGTTAACCCTCCATTATGAAAATATAGACAGACTACAACCCGGCCCTACTCAGTTTGTGCCGTGATTTTGTTCTTACATCTTGTTTGTTCAACTTATTATACATTGAACTTGGGAGACAATCAATACAATCCAACTATAGTGGATGAATCATTTTTGCATACAGAACCAATATATTTCCATGTCATTAACAAAGTCTTCTTCAGGGTGATCCCTTTTACCTAGTACCATGCTGGTGATATAGATGGGCTGGATAAAGTGACTCAGCAGCGCCCCCTGCACCCCGATCACAGTCCAGCGGAAGAGTTTGTCACTTGCGGACATGCAGCAGATTCTGGAGGCCCACTGGCTCGGGTCCAGATACACCACAGGCACCAGGGCTCCTTTAGAGTGGTACTGGAGCTTAACGGACGTCAAATTTGAATTTCTGGTTTACAAAAGACAAGAAGACAGTATTATCAACAACTGATGATTACAGTATTTCTGGATGTTTTTGGAGTAGTGACCTTACAGACGCATAGAGAAAAAAAGACTCTTCACAGCTCTTGAACATGTTATAATTGTTTTTTTCTGGTTGTTTAAAACAGTAGAAGAAATCAAATACATGAACAACAATGCGTTTCATATGTCGCGTAATAAACAATGATTTAAGATACATTGTGATTACAGTCTACCTCACACTCGGACTGTAACAGCACATTGGATTATAAAGCAATGCAATCAATAAAAATGCGTTTTGCAAAGTAATATTTTTCTGTTAATTCCTATCAGATTAAAATAGACAGTCACAATATTTATTAGCTGCAGACCTACCGGTACTATATTTTCATAAAAAAAACATTAACAATAGCTTTCTGTGTGGAATTTGCATATTTCCTCGTCTGCGTAAGTTTCCTCTGGATGCTCCGGTTTCCCCTACCATTGAAAACATTAACAATAGGTCTGGATGTCATGAGAGTCATGAAGAATGGAAAAATATCAGTACGCTTGTAAAATGCTTTGTGTAAGTAAGTAAGCTTTATTTATATACCGCCTTTCACAGACCAGAGTCACAAGTGGTTAGTTTGTGGAACCTAGGTCAGTGAAATGTATTATATAGATAAACTAAATAGATGACTTACTCATCTGTCAAACAGCCAATGAACAGTAAACTGCCTACATTGACAATATTCACTGTGCAATAAAGTTTACAAGAAAATACCCAAAGTAGAAGTTTTTTGAGATGCCTTCTGGTGCCTGGTTGGAGTAAAGGTGGAAGCTGACTTTGGGTTTGAGTTGAAGCTGGCGACTTTCTTCACTGGCCTCAAAAATACTGCACTCCTTCGCGCCTGGATCATTGTCAAAGAACAGCAGCAGCTGTTTGTACAGAAATCTAAACAAGAGAAACAGAAGACTTATATGAAGACATTTAAGGACATTGGTCAGCCGCCCCTTGTGGATTAATGGCTGTGTTTAAAAAAAAAATTGCATTTCTTGTGTTTGAACTGTTTGTTTCTCTGATCTGTGATAGCGAATGGCCGGTTTTGTAAAGTCCTCTGAGAAAACTACTGTAGTAATGTAGGGATATACGAAAAGAAAATTGAATTCAATGAGTTGCAGTCTGACTCATGGCCTTTTCCATTTATACTTTGTCACAAATAAAAATATTGTTATTTGTTGAGGAGGTAATGCTAGATTATGAGATATATACAGTAATCAGCGGCAGATATCATATTGCTTTTATAATGTGCTCCGAGGTCATGTAAGTGGGTCTCAGCCCAACCCTAACCCATTGTAAATTGAATTGTTGGGCAGTTAGTGTCCAACTAGAAGGACTGTGGTGATGATCCAGGACACTTCAACAATCTACATGTATGGACATTTATCAACATGTGTTCTATATTCTTTATGTGTTTTAACTGTTGATTCTCTGACCTGTGTCTGACCGGTGATTTCAATGGTTTTGTTAAGTCCTCTGAGATGACTTCTGTTGTGATTTAGGGCTATACAAGAATAAATTGTATTGTATCGTTTTGAATTACAGAAACAACTTCACCTTTTAACCATTTTCTAATATCACATGTATTATTTTCTAAATAAGCAAATAATAAACTAAAATTTGTAATAAAAGTAATTGTATATGTGTCATGAAGCAATACTTAAATCAATGTTCAAGATTAACAGAGTTAAGGTGACTTTTTTAAATCTCCAATCATCAACTGAATAAACACGTCTCTCTGTTCCACATAAATGACTCGTCCGAGTCTGCACCTGAGCAGGGCGCGCCTGGCGAGGACGATGGCGTGGCTGTCGTGGACCACTGTTCCGTTGTAGCAGAGCCACTTGTGGCAGCTGCAGGAGCCCGCCGCCAACGCCACGACTTTACAACTGTCACGGGGGTTACCGTCAGTGTCCAGCACCTCTGTGGAAAGGGGGGGATAATGTAAAGTTAAGCATATGGAAAGGTGTGTACTGAAGTTAGATCTTGCCTTTTATCATGATGAAAGCAGCCATGTTGTTTTTGCAGCCTTGAAAATCAGAGCACATCTTCAGAAGCGCATCGAACTTCTCACTGCTTACTGCTGCCATCAGATTTTTGTGCCAATCAGTCGTCCAGTCTGTGAGGAAAGAGATGGGAAACACCCAGACAAGCAACTTGTTTTAACCAAAAAAAACAAAAACAATCTAAAGAAATTTTAAATAAATAAAAAGGCAGGAATAACATTTTTATTAATAACTAGGAATGTAATATATACACAATGAATTTTGACTTTTGGTACCTTGAATCTTTTCAGTGTTTTTAACCGGTTCCCTGAACTCGTTTGTTTCAAGACTGTATGAATCAGGCAATGACGGACAATCATCACCGTCACTGAAGTTCAAATCCTGAAAATCAAACAACAATGAGTCTTAAGCAGACTATAGCTGGTGAGGATGAGATACTATAGGGACTGTAAAAAATGTAATCTTATGCAGAAAACAAGACGTTTTTAGAATTACTATTACCCATTGATATTATCTTTGAACTTGATCATTTCCATAAGTGATCTGTATGACTTTGCAAATTGGTGTTTTGTGGCAAGTTACATTGAAGATGTGAACTGTCTGCAGTCTATATTGTTGAGTTTTTGGGGAACTGAAAGCGATTCAGAGAAAAACTGCCAACCTGGAATTCCAACTGGGATACCATGTCATATAACGTGACCCAGGGCAGTCCAAATATGCCCAACGAGTGACATGTCTGGTGAGTGTGCTGGCCATGCCAGAAGTGAGATGTTTTCAGCTTGCAGCAACTACAGAGTCAGATCCTTGCAACATGGGCGGAGAGCATTATGCCGCTGCTACATGAGGTGATGGTTGAGGATTAATTACAAAACATAGGGCCCCAAGATCTTGTCACAACTCTTTGCATTCAGAATGTCATCAATAAAATGTTCCTGGGTTCATGCCCATAACTCACGCCAGGCCCATACCATAACATCACCGCCACCATGGGCCATTCGATCCAGAATGTTGACATCAGCAAACCGCTCATCTGCAAACAACGCCACGCACAATCTCTGCCATCTGCCCTAAGGAGTGTCTAGTGGTGCCTGGTTTATGGCAAGGGTTACGTTCTATTAAATAACCTGCGATAAGGGAAATCGGCAAAGTAGGTGCTGTGTTTTAAGGCAGTAAAACCACACAATATAAACTTTTCTAACCACCTGCTAAAGTGCGATCGCAGAGATATCAAACCTGTTCATTCTAAGTCTGGGAGCTGTCTGAGCACTGCCGTGCATACACTAAAAAACAGCAGCATAGGACACCGCGCTGAGGGGCAGGTGCAGGACTGAGGGCTATGGGAAGACCACGGTAGTCCTCTGAACTAATCACTGCAGGGTACAAAAGACACAAAATGTATTATTCTGACTTTGAATAAAGGTAACTGTCATGTTATACTGGGGGTTAAATGAGGTTGAATATGTTGTTGGAGAATACATGTGGTGCACGAGAAGTACGCTGTAAAAAAGAACACATAATTTACAACATAAAATCAGGGACCACTGCACACATCCCAGTTCTTATTTAGCCGTCATGCTCACTGGTGCTCACATGCCAAACCTGTGTGGTATTCATGCCGTCTATTCAGCATCTTGATATGCCACATTTTTGAAGTGGGATGGATTGTCTCAGCTAAGAATAAGTGCTCACTGAAAGAGATTAAGACTTGTGAGTTGTGATTAAGAATTGTGAACAATATCTGAATGACTTTTGAGCATGTGCAGGGTTTAATAGTTTTACTATTTTTTATTAAGAATTGTAAATTTTTGTATTGTTTAAGGGCCAAACATGATGCATAATATTTCTCCTTTAAAAGTCAATACCATCAGAAGCTCATCCTATTGATGTTGTGCCGTTAAAATACACACAATAATTGGTTCACCCGTTTTTGTCCCATCTCCAGTGCAAAACTAAAAACACACAAATAGACAGCATTTCATCTGTTCACAAAAAGAGGAGATGATTGATTTGATAGTGAGCATTAACACGCTCATGGAAAAATCAATGAGACAAAAAGACAGAGCCGTGTGTCAAATTTGAAAGCCATTTTTATCATCAACAGCAAAAACAGGATGGGGCGCAGTGTTGAATACAGATGGTTTCGAGGCCCTCCAGTAAACTGAATAATGCCAAAATCTGGTAATTATAAGAAAGTCGATGTCAGATACTGAGTTTACACCTGTCATTTTTGCACATCTAATTGGGGGTGTTGTCTCTTCTGCCAAACCGAGCTGCATGCATGTGTTTAATTCTAATCTTGCTGCTCACGAGTTAGAAACATTGTGTAAAACATCAGTCATAGGAGGGTCTAAGGACAGTGGTGATGATCCAGGACATCCAACATTCAACGACATTTTTAGTTTAGTTTTTTAGTTTATCTGTTTATTCCAAAAAAACATCATTAACATAATTGTACAACAGAATAATACAATCAATATACAAGGTTTGGAAAGGGGGTTGGCTGAAGCAAACACTTGTATATTTCACACTCATACAGACAGGACATAAAGACACACACAAACTTACACACCAACACACAAACCAAACACACAAACACTCATATTGGCCCAATCACTCTCCGACCCCCCACCCCTCTCTCAACACCAGAACAAGCCCAGGGCATCACCCACTCTCCTCCAAGTATTTCTGCAACAGTTCGTTTTTAAATTTGTTCTTGAATATTCTAATGTTTGAGGAAGATTTCAATTCATCTGACAGTTTGTTCCAAATATTAACTCCACACACTGAGATACACATTGACTTAAGCGTTGTTCTAACTTTAGGTTGATATAATTTACTGTTTCCTCTGAGTTTGTGCCTGTGGTGAGCGTCTCTATCATGGAACAGCTCCTGTAAGGTGGATGGGAGAGTTTACAGATGCCCTGAACATTATCTGAGCAGTTTTAAACATAATCAGGTCATACAGTTTGAGTTCATGTTTTGCAATGAACAGGGGAATAGAAGGCTGTCTGTACTGGACGTTAGACACAATCCTCAATTATAGACTTTATCAACACAATCAAATGGAACAATTCTGTGTGTTATTTATCATTGAATTTTCTGTGTTTGAACTGTTTGATTCTCTGATGTGTTGGCGATTCTACAATTTTGTTAAGTCCTCCGAGATAACTACTGTTGTGATTTAAGGCTATACAAATAATCAATTGAAGGGAATTGAATTGGATTGATTTCAAATGTTATCATGCACTTCTGTTTATAACATATTTGGCAGAAACCAATCCCTTTTGAAGACATATCAATCACCATCACAAACCACCTATACCACAAACCGCAAGGTTTTATTGGGTGACGACACACTGTTCTCCCCATAATCAGTCATTTTTATTCCCAGACAGAAACAAATAGTGTAGAGGACACCTGGACAACTTATTCATCTTTGGAAATATACTTTGTTTCGTTTCAACAGTAAGAGTCCTGTGAAAGTCTTTTAAGAAAACAAGATCTTTTAAATACTTACATGAGAAATATTATTGTGAGTCACTATTTGACACTTTGGGCTGAGTAAGGGTGGTCTTCTATTTTTAACCAAAATATGTGGGCCGAAAAATACCTGAATCTGAAAACTAGGGTTAGAACCAAAGTATTTTAGAGCCAGGAACTTAATGTAAATGTGCACTCTATTGTCCCCGTGGAAAATTTGTCCTCTGCATTTGACCCATCTTGATGCCACTAAGGCTTACGTCAGGAGCAGTGGTCGCCGTAGTAACATCTCCAAATGTTGATGCTCAGCTTGGTCAGGACCAGATTTGGAGGATTTTTTGTTAGCTATAATGCATATTGTTAGTGGTAGGGGAAACTGGAGCACCCGGAGGAAACCTACACAGACACAGGGAGACATTGCAAACTCCAAGACCCTGTTCCGACTGGGAACACAAGGTGATTTTACTACAAATACCACAAAACCGTATCCCTTCAATAACATTTGTTTTAATAAAAGTATGTATTTACTTCCCTTTGAGGATCATTTAAAGGTATCCAACGCAGTTTATTTAAGAATACATTAGTAAGTTGAGGGTAAACACAAGACTTACCTCAATATTACTTTCCAAAGGAGATTTATGTTCAACGAGTGCACAGCTCTTTGAAGATTCAGGACTTTTCAATAACGGACCAAACAGATTTGTTTTCAAATTGTCTCCAGCACCACCGGATTCTGTGCAAACAGATGTTTCTTTCCTGAGGAGTAGAGTAAAAATATTAAGTAAGTATTATCGTCACCATCTTGTTTTAGCCCCTCATCTAGTTGGCAGAATATACAAATGGATTGGTTATAATCTAATTTCAGTGTTGCATCACCGGTTACAGAACAGTAGGAATGATCAGCACAAAACACAAGATAAATTAACAATAACTCTATACTAAAATAGAATAAAATATACTCTGCAACTTTAGCATTTTCAAAAATCAAGAATTAAGAACAAAATCTGTGGCTTTAGCATGATTATATCTACTTCTAAAGTCTCTATCTTTAGCATAGCAAAGAAGAAAGTGTAAGTTTATAACACAGTAGGGTATAAAGCTGTATATATCCAAGGACTGTTGTTCTGAATACTGCCATTTACAGTTGTTAGTTTGTAAAATAAGTAAATATTTTGTTACCTGCGTACCACAGCCTCATTGACACTGGAGTCCAGCTGGATCTGGACTTTGGGGTGGGCTATGGGGGACTCATAGTTTGGGATATTTCTGTAATTAGGGGCTCCTTTTCGGATGATGTACCTGAATCGTCCTTTTTCCGACATCCTCCTTGTCGTAGAAGAAACAAAGTCATTGTCAAACAAAGGTGACTACAAGTTAGCTATTATGTTATTGATTTATAATTTATATCATAAAAACAATGCATTTTTAATTTTGAAACAGGTACACATGTGAAAGGTGTATTTCTAAACAGTTTGAAAATATATATTGAACATGGTCATCTTAAATGAGCCTTTTCCCGTTCATTTTCATATTCTTATGAAGGAAATTCAGAATGCTAAATTATCCTTGCTAAGTGATCAGTATCAGTATCATTATCATTGCCATGTAAGTAACGGGAAGTCACAGACTAGGTTCTCGATGCTAACCAGTCAAAAGTAGAGAAGACATACTAAAAATCTACATTTCTAAAATATAAAAAAATAATTAGTTTGGGTAAAAAATAAAATAAAAAGTTGAATATGATCATATAATGGAAAATACTTTTCAAGTTCCACAACGAATAATGTAATGATCATAAACACATAAACACATTACAAAAATTAAAACATATCCAGAACATGTGGTAGGCTAGCCTGGTCCACACCATGTGAAATGAGCCAAGCTAGTGGAAGGCATGCATCAACATTTCTTTCTATTTAACGCTAGCTAAATTAGCAGGCTACTGTCGAAGTCGGTAAGTTTGCCAACTGTATGCTGAAGATTTTAGTATATATTCACCAATCTGAAAATACGATGCATGCATGCTTTTAGCTACAAATAATATACACTACTATTACTATTATTATAGGCTATTTAGCTCGCTATCGAGCTAGCGTTAGTTGCAAGCACGTTAGCTTTGATTTAAGCTAGCAAGTTTTTGCAGACGAACTCTCCGGTCAAAAAGCAGAGTACGTAGCTATACGTTTGTCGTTGTATCCCTTAGTTTAAATCGTTATGAACAGAATTAAGAGTTGAATAAAGACATTTATGCGCTGCTCACCTGGGTTTTGTGCAGAGAGGGCGTGTTGTAGCCTGGAGCCCTGTGCAGCTGTGGACGAGGAAAATGGGACACAAACAACATTGATCTCTTGAAACTTTAAAAAAATCAATGAATAAATAAATAAAATGAAAGCAAAAACAAATATACCTACATAAGCAATTTTATTCAAATATTAGTATTAGGATAATAATGTATATTTTTTAAATTGTTTGCTAACTATTTTTTTATTTTTTTTTTACCCAAACATAATATATAATTTATAATACTGTAATATTTACAGTCTATGGACCCAGCTCATTGAGATCAGGTTTGCGTCTGCACAAAACTGACTCGTACTTTGCTGTAATCTTGGTAATCTATGGTATTTAATTATGGTATTTTTTACAGGTTTCACAGTCTATGGTTTCACAGCAGGATTTGTCCACATCACATGGAGGATGGTTTAAATGAGATTACAGAGGAAAAAAAAGCAGCGATCTTCCCAGGCAGTGTTGGGTAAGTAATTACTTAATTATATAACTTTTTTGAAAACTGTATAAATGACACTCCTTTGTTACAGTTACTTTTGTTTACTGCTCCATGTTAAAGCCGCATTGCTTTGTTAAGCCTGCATTTGATAGTTATGCAAGTAACTAATAAGCAATATTTTTATAGAAACTCCATCACAACTATTTTCAAAGTAATGTGTCACATTACTTAGTTACCCAAAATAATAATCTAATTATACTAACCAACTACTTGTAACTGAATTACACTAAACACTGTTTCCAGATAATGCGACAAAGCAATGGCTAGAATAAGACAAATTATAAAACTGCTTTCTTGTCCTTTTTAGTATACAGAATACTTTGTTGCAGTATTATTGCCCGCATTCAATGCCATTTGTAAAGACGATTTACATTTTAAGACACAACCAGCTCTGACCCTTAAAGAGTACGTTTTAACACACATGCACCCACCATCCATATTGCACTACTGTTTTATTCTGTTGCTCCTGTTTATATTATGTCCTGTACAGTGTCCTTGGGTGTTTAGAAAGGCGCTTTTAAATAAAATGTATTATATTATATTATTTAAAAGACTTGGATAGAAAATCATTAAAGTGATTGTCTGGAGAGAGGGGTACTTGATTTGAAAAAAACAACGCAAGCTCCCTCCCCATTCCTTTCTGATTGGTCTACACCTACGTTTCCGTAACACTTTTAAATGTTAATCAGAGAACACATTATACATATACATTATTCATACACATGCATGGAGGTTTTCAGAATTATTTGTTAACGTTTTCATGAAAAAAATAATGTTTTATGAACAAAAAAAGCGATCGTAGCAAACCAGGAAGTGCTATTATCATGAATTGCACATTATAGGACACATCTGCAGAGGATCTGATTATGGATATAGGTTCAGTATATAAATGATTATGGATATAGGTTCAGTATATAAATGGGGGACTCAGCGCAGATGTTCAGAATTCTTTGATCAGTTTTCATGAAGTTCCAGAACCTAATAGAGGCTTGATTCGGAGGCTCAGCGAAAACAAACAACTGAGCATGCCGATGATTGACAGCCCTTGGCATGACTCGATTGGTTAACGTGGACGGCACCGTGGACTCTGAGCTATAGCTAAGAGAAGGGAAGGCGGGACTTGCCCGTAATATTAGAATTAATAAAATGACTTATTTTATATCAACATTTATGGCCAGGAGGTCAATTTAACACATTTCCTAAAATATGTAATTCATTTAGAGTTACAGACTATCACTTCAGCATAATTTTTGCATGATTTTGAATGAAGCCCAAGTCCTTAGGTTGATTGACTGAAACTGGGACTAAATTTTAAATACATTCAGACAGCATCACTGATAAATGAATAACGCAGCTGTGAGTCTGAGGTGGTAGTCTGCAGCACTGGGGCCCCTCAGGGCACTGTCCTCTCACCGTTTCTCTTCACCATCTACACCTCAGACTTCACACACGACACACACAGCTGTCACCTGCAGAAGTTCTCCGACGACTCCGCCATCGTGGGCTGTGTCTGAGGGGAACGATCTGGAATATCGGTCGGTTATCAAGGACTTTGTCGACTGGTGTGAGCGCAACCACTTGTGCTTGAACACCAGTAAGACCAAGGCGATGGTCATCGACTTCAGAAGAAAACCACTTTCCCACACGCTGCTGAATATCCAGGGGGAGGACATTGAGCTGGTGGACAGCTTCAAGTACCTGGGTGTTCACATTAACAATAAACTGGGCTGGTCCCATAATACAAACGCCCTGCACAAGAAGGGCCAAAGTCGCCTCTTCCTTCTGAGGAGGCTGAGGTCCTTCGGAGTGAGCAGGCCTCTGCTCAGGACTTTTTATGACTCTGTGGTAGCTTCTGCCATTTACTACGCTGCCGTGTGTTGGGCCCCGGGCAGCACAGAGCGGGACAGAAACAGACTGAACAAGCTGGTGAGGAGGGCCAGCTCCACTCTGGGCTGCTCCCTGGACTCTGTGGAGGAGGTGAGGGACAGGAGGGTGCTAGCCAAAGCCACCTCCATCATGAACAATACCTCCCACCCACTGCACAGGACTGTAGAGGAGCTGAGGAGCTCCTTCAGTGGAAGACTGAGGCACCCTCAGTGTAGGAAGGAGCGCTACCGCAGGGCCTCTATCCCCACCGCTGTCAGACTGTACAATAAGTCACTTTAAATGATCACTGTGTGAAAACCTGCACTACTATTGACACTGTTTCCAATTGACACTTGTCACTTTTGTTGTACATAATTATTGTCACTTTATTGTACATATATCCTGCATGTAACATGTTTGCACATTTCCTCCCTGTGTCTCTATCCATGCCAAATGTGACATGTAAATTTCTCCTCTGTGAGATAAATAAAGCAATCTTATCTTATCTTATCTTATCTTATATTTATTTGCCTGACAAAGTAAGAAAACGTGTAGTCTCCTATAGATTATCTGAGCATAGGTTGTATGAATTGGCCTGAACAATGTAATGCATAAATCATCACACATAAGTTAGTGAAAAAAAAGAAACTTCCTCTTTTACTAACTCTAATACAATCTTGCTTTTGTTGCTGCCGTTTTGGTTGGCAGTGTTGAGCCTCATCTTTTATCTGAGGAAGGTTTGATGATATGATAGATATATTCAGTTGGCTTGTGCATATAAATTGAATGTTTTGGTTACTAGAGGAATGAAAGGCGGGCTTCTGTCATGTTTTATGTATAGTTGCAGTAAATAAGCGAATAGATAGCAAGGGGTCCTCTGATGTCTATGAATTTTAAATGTGCTGCACTGTGCACAAATACAGCCAACATAATGTATAAACACTAGAAGTAGACACAGATGGAAGTTTTGAATTAAAGCAGCTACGATACAGTGTTGTTTGTTGAAGTGTCCCTGGATCATTGAGGGATTCTAACCAGGACTATACAATATCATTTTCTAATACATTTTACAGTGGAGTGCATGCAGGCTATAAAAGAGAAACCCATCTTTTTAAGAGAGTTTGAAGAAGTGTGAATGAAAGTTACAGATGTCAAGATTGTTAGGTTAAAGCTGGGGTTGTTGACATAGATAGATTCTTTAATGATCCCTATATACGAGTAATTAAGGTGTCCAGCAGCAGAAACACATCCATCCATACAAAAAACATAATTCTAAAAGTTACTAACAATACTAATAAAGTGCAACAGGACTTTAGGTCACAGCAGCAGAGGTGCAACAGCCGCTGGCGATGAGCTGTTTCCTATCCTCTGGGTGAAGTATGCAGAGTCTGCTCGGTTCAGACCATTTTTTCTGTCTGTCTTGGTTCAGTGTGAAATTCTGAATTCTTTATTTTAAAGTTTTCAAAAAAGTTAGTATTCTTCCAGTGGATTTATGCTTGATCTTCTTGGTTCGGACACAGCCACACAGTCAACTCTAAAGCATCAGTGGGGGTTAACCAATCAAATTATATAGTCTGGTCAACTAAACACAAACTTGTTTTGGTCTTTCTACACAACATCATGTTTTAACAAGCCCCTCTTTCTCTATTATATGCCTAAACAAAGTGCTGTCTGGTCTAGTTTACTTTATTATATTTTGGTCAAAATCTACTTGCATAACAGGGCACTGTTTTGTTTAAAATCACATTAAGTCAGTCTCTGGTACTTGAGAGATGTATCCGCCCCATAAACTCTCCATCTCTCAAGTTCGTTGTTTTTGGTTACATCAGTCTATACAGTAGGAGATATCTTTGTTCTATCTGCTATGTTTTGTGTTGGATTTTATATTATTATGTTATTATGTATTTATTTGTTTTGTTTGTATGGATGGATGTGTTTCTGCTGCTGGACACCTACATTTTTCCTATGGGGGATCATTCAATTATCTATCTATCCATCTATAACATAGGCAATAATAATTGTACTTTTACTGCAAATTGATATTGTACTCCTTGACTACTAAATATCAGTAACAGCCCTGAAATCGCCTGGCATCAATCTATCCACAAGCATTTATATACACATTTGTATATATTTTTGGGCTTAATTTGATTGATCAGACATTGTCACATCAATCAATAGTCAGTATCTATAGTCATCATCACTACTTTAAGCTGAGGTGTTGTAGTAGGGAACAGTAGGTCGTGAAATCCCACTTGAGTTTTGTGTCCTTTCATTGGAGATTGCTCCAGGCCTCACCGGAAATCCTCCAAGGGGCCATCTTCACAAAACCACATTTCTCTTTCGTTTACTTCTTTTCCGTGTCTTAAGCGCCTACGCAGGTTTCATTCACACCCACGTGCTGGTGCTCATTCAGGCTCTGTTTGATTACTGCATCCAGGGACAGCACGTCTCAATACTGTTGCAGGTTTTTTCTGTACTTGGAAAATGGACAAGGAAAACTGTGAAATATGGTGCTGCTGGATGACAATTCTTCATAGCATATGTTCGACTGTGTGAAAGTGTGTGTGTGTGTGTGTGTGTGGGTGTGTAGATGGGTGTGTCTGTATGTGTGGGTATGGATGTGTATGGGTGTCGAAGCAAAGTACAGGGCATGATATGCGTTTGAAAAGATGGTTGATTAGTGAACGTCTGTTCGGGCAGAGCAAAATTACCTAAAATCTACTATCGTATCATATAGAAATAGAAATAGATATAGAAATTATGTGTATCCAATGTACAAGGGTCCGTGTACCTTCCGTTCATTCTATTTCCATTTTTGACATCCAAAATGAAAAAAAGGAAGTCAGGGCTTTTTTAGGGGCTTTCTAAATGGCACTGCTAAATCAAGAAAATGTATTAAAATTGGTTGTGAGATTGTTGTATTGATGTACAATACAGTTCAATATTGTTGTATTGAACTTTAACAATATATAAATTACACAAAACATGACTTAAAACCCTAAAAGTAATCAATTAAAACTGCACTCATAAGTGATATTCCTGGCTTTAGTTATTGCAAGGTATTACAGCAGGGGTCTCCAACATATGGCTCAGGAGCTATAGCTTGCCAACTCCTTCTAAGTATCCTTTGGGGAGGATTTAGACATTTCTGAAATTTCCCTACTGTGGGACAAATAAAGGATCTAATAATCTTAATTAAATAATCTCCTCAATATTTAAAGTGTATTGTTTCCCATCCCTATACTACAACTATCATACATATTCACTTTCTGCACTAATGAATGGATGATAGGTTGGTTACACTTAGATGCCCATAAAGCAATCAGAGGCATGTCGCCATTATCCAGTATTGACTCAATTTAAAGTCCATTTGCTTCTGTAATGGACTTTGAGGCTAATAATGTAGACTAATTAAACGCAAAGCGAGATGTATAAGCCTTTATTTATTATAATGTTGCCATAATTGCCTCGCAGCTTGTAAAAACCAAAACTCAGAAAAGTATATAGTATTTTGAAAGTGGACTGTACAGTAAGCCATAATCATGAAAAGGCTTAACTTACTGTATGTCACTTTGCAAGTAATCTATATTATATATTAGGGTTAGGGTTATGAATTTTTACAGAAATAAATTAACTTTTGAACAATATTCTGATTTCCCTAGTTTCACCTCATTACTCTGATTACTATCATTCACAATTTCACACACAGAATTTTGAAATATAAATATAATTCTCATTCAGCCTACTAGATACATTTTATATTGTCAATCAAATGCCTTGAATGTATAATTTTCACCCCACTTCCAGTCAAAGTAGATCAAAACATTTTATCCCATTCGTCAAACAAGGAGAGAATAAACCTCATTTACCACAAGTACATATGCCGCTGTGAGGGAAATCATGAATCTCTATCAGACAGACTCCTCGCAATGAAATTTGAATACCCAAAATCAGATTTGAGTGTGGGTCGCTGCAGCCGCCGTACTCCGCTGAACAGGGATAATTGAGCATACACAGCCTCTGCTCCTAAGTGGACGTGACAGGCCTTTCCTCGGGCTCGCCACCAGGGGGCGTGGGTCTCTGCTGGCCTGCTTCACTCATGACCTACAAAGCAGCAGCTTCCAGACACAGAGCAGAGGAACAGACGAGCCTTTGATTTCAGCAGCACTGAAGAAGACTGGCTCTATTGAGGGGTTTGCAAACTGCGGTACCGACGCCTCTATGAGTGTTTGGAGTTCTGATTTTAGTATTGTGTGCGTTTGGGTGTGCGTGTGTAGACTATACCGTTATTTTTATGTGGTATGACCTGATTTGATTTTAGTACCAAGGAAAAGGCTGAATTGTGGCCATAGCAGCCTGATCTTGATCTCAGATGATAGAAGCTAAGTAGTGCAAGGCCTGGGTAATACTTGGATGGGAGTCGGGACATCAGTGTTGCTGCAATAGTGATGCCAATGATTATACTTGATACCAGAGTGATTTTGAAATTGTATTTTTTGGACAGTAATCGGTTAAGTTTCATTTGATATAGAAAAACAATACTACTTTTAATAGCAATGTTTTATACCAGTTTTGGATATTTTGTCTTGTATTTGAACATTTCTTTCTTGTTTCTAGTTTTGTTACTAGTTTTTGTATGAATGAATTAATTACTGACTTTTGTTCTTTTTGACAATCCCAGAGTGCAAAGAGTATGAATCTAGTGAGTGAATGATTTGTCAGACCAGGATGAATAATGTAATGTGTCTTTGAGTGTCCTAAAAATCCTATAACATACTATATAATAGAAAAAAGAATGACTTATAGCTTTGTGTTATACTCTATGACGTAAATTAAGGCTGGGGTACCTGCCTTTTATAATCACAACATTTTTATTATGCATTTTCATTATTGATGGTGAAAATGACTGACCATGGCATGTCCTTTTTAATTTGGAGCAAATTTCTCAAGAATACAATCGTATGTATTCATTCTAAATGTTGGACCAAAAACCATAGAAAAATATAAAAATGATATTTCCTATCAATCTAACCATCCATAATTTCCTTTGATTCATTTTTGGTTCAATCCAATGAGAACTGAATACATTTTCTCCAACCATAAAATAATATTTGAATGAATTAATTCAATTTATTTTGGTCTCTTGTACAATTGTACACATTGTTACAAACAGTAAATTACAGCAGAAAGAAAATATATTCAAACTCAAAGCTAAAAAAAAAACAAAAAAAAGGAAAAATATATCTGTAATGTAAAAATAAATATCAGTAAATATTTAAAAAGCAGCCTACATTTTTTCCATCCCAAAAATGCTTTCAAACAGATCATAAATGAGTTTCACACCACCAGTATCGACTCACGTTTTAAACACAACACATAAAAAAATTTGGCCCTCAGCCCAATCTGGCATTTTCATTTAGGCCCCCCTGAGTGAAATAATTTTGGCACCCCCTGAAGTTGATCCATCTATCTATTTCCGAGCTCTAAACCAGTTTTCACATGCATGCACTTTATACCCTCATTCCCACAAGGCTCTTTGTTACACTTATACAAAGCATAAAATTACATCTGCTAAGGCCGCAAGAGCTCTGGTGTGTGTCGTCTGGTGCACACCGGGGTAGTCTTGTACAGTTTTTCCTATGTGGTTTTACTGCAAATGGCAAATAAATGAATCTGAATTCATCTGAAAACCACATTGTCTGATTTGTTACTGTTTTTGACAAACAACATGGATTATTATGTAGAAGTTACGTACCCCGGCTTTAACTGTGGTTCACATTATCAGTTGTGATTCGTCATAAATGTTCAGCTTTTCGTTGCCTTTAAATTCCCCCCCTGAGGGATGTATAGTTGGGTTGAAAATTGCACTCCCATAGCAGATGATTTTTGTTGACCTATTTTTCCGTCAGGCTTCAAACAAAAATGTAGGTTACTGAATACAAACTGGTTTTCTTTTTTGAATTGAAATAAACTAGTTTGCTTTAGCACCTGCCTTTTTAGATTTAGGTTCATATGACAGGTTGGTTGATAATCCTTCTCTTTTTACCATAATAATCCAGTTTTACATCCATCTGCTCTACTTTTCTTCTGCTTTATCCAGGACCGGGTCAAAGAGGTTGCAGTCTTGTAACACATTATTATCATTTGACAAATACAAATAAATCTTTATTGTTCATGAATTTGAAGTTAAAGGGGCCATAACAAGATAAATATTCTGTTCAAACCATGTGATCATCTGTGTTATTGTCATTTTCCCTTATAACTTACACTCAATTTTGTTTTTTTAGACCAAATCCTGCAAAAATAGCCGCTGCTTGCTACAGTAACTTGATCAGTAGGAGCCTGGACTGATGCCTCTGACGTCACCACATTTCACTGAAGGGAAAGTGGGTAGAACACACAAGGCAAGGCATGGTTATTTGTATAGCCCAAGGCATACACAAGGCAAATCTACATGCTGAAAAAACAACATAACACATCAATTCTAACAACTGAAAACAAAAGGGCTAATTTTTTGTTTTCGGCAAGGCAAGTTTATTTGTATAACACAGTTTATACACCAATATACACCAAAGATCCTAGGCAATATGGGTGAAGTGTCTTGCCTAAAAACACAACAACAATTTGGCTCTCAGTCTGTGGCTGCTGGTGTTCCTAGAGGTCTCCCATCACAGTACTGACCAGGCCCTGCCCTGCACAGCTTCAGAGGTCATACCTGCATGACGAGGCTTCATGCAGGTATGGTGTTATTCATTGCAGACCTGCGCGATAATGGAAATAAGTGATGTCCGATAGCGGTGTCAGTGAGATATTTAGGATTTATTTGATATTTATGTTGGTACCGCAGTGGTTAAAGGAACCAGTTGTTGTTGCTCTCATTTTCTTTTCTCTGCCATATAATGTTTCATTCTCTGGGCTCGAGTAACACATTTTGGAGTTCATGCATTTTTATTTGCAACATCAATAATACATTTGCTTGTATTGCGTTAACAATCATTGCTGTTATATTGTGCTGCTCTGGCTCAATGTCTTTAATGACAGTAAGACTTGGTGGTTCTGATATATTTGTTCACATTTACAACAAGAAAAACTCAGATAATTATTGCTTAGAGGTTGGGAACTTTAAAGGGCTGTTGAACATTTTATAATTATTCATTGTGCTGTGAATATTTTTATTTTGCAAACGAGAAAGTTAGACATTTGAGTGCTGTGAGTGTAAGTTTTTGACAAAGTTTATCAATATCTTATCAATGGAGAAATCTGCACAATCTAGGCAAGTTTATTTGTATAACACAGTTTATACACAAGGCAGCACAAACTGGCTTAACCAAAA